GGGGGCTGGTGTGGGGACAGCCCCCTTGTGAGCCACATACTGACCGCCTTTGGCCATTTAGACCCATCTTTGATGGTACCATGTGGTAATGTGTGGCTACAACACACCGCCCCAACTTGCCTGGTGTGCCGCCGAGATGTAAGTCTGTGTTTCCGTGTGTGTGTGTGTGTGTGTGTGTGTGTGTGTGTGTGTGTGTGTGTGGTTAAGCAGCTGGCATCAACCTGGGCAGCTGGGCCTGAGAGAAGAGCAGACCACCAACCAAAACTATGTATTTTCCTCTGCAGCGGAAGCCACTGTCTGCACAGTGACACTGGAGAAGACCTCTGCAGGGTTGGGCTTCAGCCTGGAGGGAGGAAAGGGCTCCCTTCATGGAGACAAGCCTCTCACCATCAACAGGATTTTTAAAGGTGGGCCCCTTTTCTCTCTACGCCCTCTCCAGTTGTGGGTGTGCTGCCCTTCTGGGCCACTGTGGATTCTCACGCCCTTTGAGTTATGCGTTGACCCCTATGCATTCACTTCTGCTTTTCTTACCTTGTGCCCTTACTCAGCCACGCCCTTACTTCTCTTTCTGTTGGACCCTCTCACGTGGCTAAGCCTTGGGCTTGGGTAATGAGTCTTTTTTCATCCTGCCAGCCAGATCCCAAATAATGTCACAGAAACCTACTATTAATTATAAACGCTCAGCCTATAGCTTAGGATTGTTCCTAACTAGCTCTTATAACTGAAGTTAACCCATTTATATTATCTACCTCTCTTCCATCTTGTACTTCCTGTTTCCTCTCCGTGTCTCCTGGCATCTCCCCTGTATGTCGATTATCTCCTCCTACTTCCTCTCTCTGCCTGGAAGTCCCGCCTATACCCCCTGCCTAGCTATTGGCTGCACAGCTCTTTATTAAACCAATCACAGCAATACATTTTCATAACATGAATGAATATCCCACAACAGGCTTGGTTCAGCTTGGCAGGACCAAGGACAGGAAGAGGCAAAGAAGACTCTGGCTTGAGGCACAGAGTTGAGGGACACCAAAAGATGCACTGAGGAAGATCAATACCATGTCCACACAATGTACTTAGAAACAAAGGTTAATCTTAAAAATTATACAGCTGTAATAGCATTGAGGTGAAGGCAAGACACTCAGGAGTTCAAGGTCAACCTTAGCTACATAGTGACTAAGAGACCAGCCTGGGTTATGTGAGTCTGTCTCAAACCAACCAAGCAAACAAATGTATAAGATGCCAACGTTTTGGGTAAAGCCAGAGGCTGGCACTTGTCTCACAGCCTGGTTAGCTTTACTCTAGTCCTGAATTCTTTGATTCTTCCCATTTGATTTCTTCTTCATTATGAACTGGGCTGCCAGACAATCTGACATGTTGGTCGGCTGGATATGGATTTTCTTGAGAGACGTATGAACACCTTGTAGCTACCGTACAGATCTATCTGCAACCCCTTCCAATTCTTAGGTGGAAGCCTTGGGCAGGGGAGCAAGGGATGTGGAGAAACATTGATCAGAAGCCAGGCTCTGGGTGTGGTCTCAGCCCTGCCTCTAACTGCAGGTGACCATTCTTTACCAGTCTAGAGGTTCCTTATCCACAAGAAGAGGTAAAATGTAAGGGTGTGTGTCTGGGAACTTTATAGAACTGGGGTCCGAAGGGCATCACATCCCGACTCTCTGTCCTTATGAGTCTTTACAGCTAGCTGATCTTCCATTCTGCAGCAGTGGGAAACCAGTGGGTAGACTGTGTCATGTGTGGTAATTAACCCAAGTTTCTATGTTAACTACAGCTCTGAGAAAATGTTTTTAGCTTTTGAGGGAACCAAAGTTAAGAGACCTGGGTTCTAATGTTAATTTCGCAAGTACAGTAGTAGCAGGGCCTTGGACAAGTCACTTCATTATTATGGGCCCATGTGTACACTTGGAAATGAGCCTTCAGCCACAGGCAGGATGTGAATGCCAGAGCCTGGAGGTCAGAGTTCAAACCTCACTTGAAAACAGAGCTGAGTCTGGTATCCAAGCTCTGAGTTACCATGCTGCGAAATCCCTCACTTTAGAACCACTAGCAGTCTCCCAGAGTTCGGTGTGTGATCCACTTCTGCACGGTCCTGGTTCCTCAGAAAGTGCCTTTTATTCTTCCTGTTGCCCGTGAAGCTCAGGATCACCCGCCATCTTCTCCTTTTTTATAGGGACAGAACAGAATGAGACAGTCCAGCCAGGAGATGAAATCTTGCAACTCGCCGGCACTGCCGTGCAAGGTCTTTCTCGGTTTGAAGCCTGGAATGTCATCAAGGCATTACCGGACGGGCCTGTCACTGTGGTCATCAGAAGGAAAGGCCTCCAGTGCAAGCAGATGACAGCTTCTGGAGACTCCTAGACGGGGTGCCGACGCCAAGACAAAGCAGGAGCGCGAAGCTCCCATCACTGCCGAATCTCAGGGTCTCTGCTGCCCACCTCACCCAGGCTGAGGAAAGCCCAGGTGTGCTTCTGGGAGCTGCTGCTCAGGTTTGGACCTTCCGGGACACCGTCCATTGAGAGGGTTGCTCTAAATGTCAGGGCAGAGTCACACAGAGGTGATTGATACAAACCATAGACTGTATATAGACCGCTTAGTGACAATGTTCTGTTGCTGTAATAAAATGGATGTATTGCAGTTTGCTAATGAAACCCATGTCCTGATTTGAACATCACCCAGGTGCTTTGAAAGCCACCCCATGACAGCAAGTTTTCCCTTATGAATCTGTAGAACAGGGAGGACTTGGAGGAGAGTTCCTTTAGGTCCCACTAAGCATCATCTAGATGATGAAGGGCTGGGCTGGGGCCCTAGGAAGGAAGGGTTACTGCTTGTGCCTCTGGCTGCTGGTGCTGAGCCATGATGTTGGGCTGCCTGGTGCACACACCAGAGCCAGGCAGGAGCTGCATCTTTTTAAATGGTCTGCCTTTGAAGTCTCATGGCATTGCTTGCACTGAGAGCAGGAGCCTGGGCTCAAGGAAATGGGGGGATGTTGTCAGGAGCATTTTTTTTTTTTTTGTAAAGATGCTGCAGCCTGTCACGAAGAACACTTAAAAAACTCTTTTTTGCTTGGGCTAAGAAGTGATCCTAGAAAGAGTGGGACCAGGGGATAGAGGAGCACAGTGTGAGTTAAGGTGTGAACAGATGTGTTCACAGGATGAACTAGCATGGCTATGAATGTAAAATGAAAATTACTCCCGATGTCCCATCTGTCATGGCAGGCACTCTGCTTGACGTTGAGTGATGGCCACCCATGATCACGGCCACTTCACCAATGGTGGGTCCTGTGCCAGCGTATTGGAAGGTACTAAGCCTCATGACAAAGAGAGGCTTGTCTGGCTGTGATGTGATGGGGCAGAGATTGTCATTTCTTCATTGACCTGGTAGACATGAGCAGGCCCAGATGCTTTAAAACACAGCCCACCAGGGAAAACAAGGCTCCCAGCCTGTTTGTAGCATGTGTGTGGCCCGTAGAATATCTGCTTTGATCAATGGTGAATCTCTGATAGCCACGCTCAGGACAACTTGATGTGATGCTTGATGATCCACAGCAAGTAATGGTTTATGAGGTCTGGACCAGGGTTTCAGATCCTTATCCCCAGTCCTCTGCTCCCATGGAATTAAGGATGACATAGGGAAGGCCTGGCAGGGGTCACAGACCAAACACCAGAGACCATTTATTTCAGGGCATTGCCAATGGGAGCTTGCCAGTGTAACCTGCTAGCCTCTCCAGAATCTTAGGTCAAGAGTATTTGTTTGAAGTGGACTCAGAAACCCCTCCTGGGCTCTTCTCTTCCCGAAAAGCCCTTCAGTGACTCTTGCATAGCTCGGTCTCCCCCAACTCTGAGAAATGGCAGCAGCCAATGGCTGGAGCTCGCATGCTTATTTCTCCAGCCCACTTTAAAGTTTGTGCTATATAGTAGACAAGAAAAGGAAGGATTCATGATATCATTTAGATCAGTCCTTTAGATCTATTAGGAGGTAAATTTGATCTAACAATAAAAGGTGTGAGGCTGGGGAGACAACTGTCAGGAAGGTGCTTGGCATGCAAGCCTGGTGACTTGAATCTAATACCCAGAGACCAGAAAGACAAAAACAAATAAAACCAAACAACCAACCAGACTAATGGAAACAAAAGAACCAGGTGTGGTGGCATTCGCTTGTAATCCCAGACACGGGGAACCAGAAAGACACAGCTCTCTGGAACTTCCTGGGCATCCAGCCTAACCTATTTGGTGAGTTTCTCGCCTGTTACAAAAACCAGGGTGGATCACAGCCAACAGAATGGTACAGTAAGTGGGCTTAACATGGAGACAAAACCAGAGAGAGACAGCAGGAAGAGATCAACAGTTGGTATCCTAACCCCAGGAACAGAGCAGGGGCAAGAAAGCCAGATAGATCTAGACAGATTGTGGGAATGTCCGAACCAGCCTCATCAAAGTGCAAATGCGTCCTGGACTCCACGCCCCCACGCTGTGGACAAATGGTGGAGGAGGAGGGGAGGAATTATTAACATCTACTAAAGGGAGAGGCTGGCTAGACTGTGAGGCGCACCACGTATCTGCAGTCTTCAAGCAAGCACACTGTCAGCCAACAGGGACCTCTCCTTTCTTGATAAGAAAAGCAGGAATCTCTAAATGTATTTGAAAAGCTAAGGAGACAGCATTTGTCCCTGTTGGAATGGCTGCTTTTGTGGCAACTGTTAGATACTGTAGGACTATGCAGTCCTACTACATGGGAGACTAACTCTTCCTTCCTAACAGCAGCATGGCCTGATGGGGCTGGGGGGCTCTTCTCCCGAGTCCCCCATGAACACAGGGGCTGCTGGCCCCACTCAGAATGACTCACACAGGTCACAAGAACTCCCACTCCCTCCCAAAGATAGAATTTGGCCTGCGGCAGACTCACACTGGTTTCATGGGGGACCCAAACATTAACTTGTGACAGGACAGACAGGAAAAGACGAGTCTGACGAAAAATACAAAAAAAAAAAATTAGGTAAAAAGTGTTTTTCCTTTAAGGGTTATTTCTGTGCTTTAAAACATGTTTTCCGAGTTGACATCTTTGTAAGGGAGGAAAGTCTTGTGTTAAAAACTGGTCTATAAAACTGTATCAGAAAATGGACACAGGAGTCTGGGACAAAAGTCTAGGAGCTCCAAATGCCAGAGGAGCAGGACTTAAGGACCAGGATAGATGATGATTCTCCAAGACTGGCACAGAGACGAGGTGTCTGACAGCAACGCCCAGGGCCCTTGGACCACAAGGAATCAAAGGATGCTCGAGCCATGTCTTTGTCAGGAGGCCATAGTAGTATCTGCCCTGCCGGGAATGTGTGTACCACCGCAAGCTGATAGACAGACAGCGCCTTCCACACCAAGGCCAAGAGGAAGGAGGCGTGTGTGTGTGTGTGTGTGTGTGTGTGTGTGTGTGTGTGTATGGGCTGCTGTCCTGGGCTGGCACTCCCGAGACTTCCTGTTCACTATGGCACCTCCAAAGGCCACAGTAGCTCTTCCGTGTTCTTTGACGCTCAACAGCAGGAGCCCCTGACGGGTGTTTCTTGCCAGTAAGCGACCGTGTCAGTGATGGAACTTCCTCACGGCCTTCTGAAGGTTGGGGTAGAACTCGGCCATGCTGCGAGGGAAGAAGGAGTCTACCACGCTCTGTGGGAGGTAGCCACTCAGGTCTGTCTGGAAGAACGTGACCAGCTTGGTTTTGTTGGGCTCCCTGAGAAAGCAACAGCAGCGGTGACATGTTAGACATGTACCACAGAGGCATCGAAGCTTCCACTGAAGTCATGGCATGGATACTCAGACCTCTCCAAGGCTCCGAGTTACACAGACAAAGGCATCTGGCAGGGTCTGGCCCTGCTTCCTCAATGACTGTACTTCTAGGCCCCTCTCCTGATCCGACTCAGTGACTTCCTTCCACAGTTTCCCTTGTACCCACACCTGCTTCCACCGAGAGGAACCCTGGACCTGCACAGGCCACCATGATCCGTGAGGCTATTAAGGAGGCTTTTGCTGACCTCCTGGGTGACTCACTCCCATCCTACCCCAGGTCCGTTCACCCTCCTTGAGTTTTCCACACAGCACGTAATGTGTAGTAATTCCTAGTGTACATACAACATAATTACTTTCATTTGTGCCTTGTTTATCTTCTCCTGCCCCATCAGAATTAAGCCCGCAGAGAACAGATGTTTTCTATCTGTTTTTTTAAAACACAGGAAAAAAAAACACACAGTCAATATGGAAGACAGATGGCTGGGTTTAAGCTGAGGCCTTATCACTTGCTGGCTTGCGATCTTGGGCTAGTTATATAACCTCTCCGTCCTACCCAGCCCTTCTATAGAACCCGGGCCATGATCCCAGTTACATCAGCTAAAACTTGCGTGCTAAGCGTTTCCTTAAACCAGCCCTGAGATCCAGCCTCAAGGAGCAAGCAAGGTCTCTGCTCTTACTCGAGACACTCCGCTGCAATATGCCTGGCAACCTGGAAAGGCAAGGCACGTCTCGGCACCTGACTGCAGGGAGGAGAGCAAGGAAAAGGGGTCCAGAGTAGTTTCCTAGGCCCAAGTCAGAGGGTCTGATCTCCTCAATACTGGGGCTAAAGCTGTGCGCAGGCGTGCATCCCAAAGCATGGCTTTACTACTGCAGACGCAAGTAAGAGCCTTCCAAGAGATGTTTGAGAGCCAGCCTGGCAGACACAGTGTTCCGTGGGGGTGCTCCGTCTGGGTTTTCGTAAGAGCCTAGGCATGGAGACCAGCCTCCTGGGACTGTGTGAGGAAGCACACCCGTTTCCCTCTGGCTGTCTGCAGGAGACGCAGGGCTGCACCAGCAGGTGCAGTTCCTCTCCTTGTTAACTTGGGTGGCGCTCAAAATAAACCTGTGACCTTCAGGTAACTCATTACTCGGAGAGCTCCTGGCAAGACCCCGGCTGTGTCTGTGAGTGTATTCAGGGCCCTCCAATTCACAACGTGGTCTCGGAACTGTCCTCGAGGCCCTGAGCACTGTCCCATTTCTGGTAAAGAAGGGGTGGTCACTGTGTATAACATATTTGTGGGACTGGAGAGAGGGATTCTCACATCCAAATTAATCTAAGTAACTTACAATCCTCCCAGGAGCCACGAGGGCACAGGCACATTGTGGGGCTGAGTGCCTGCCAGCGACAATGCATTTTGTAACATCAATGTTACTTTTGTGGGTTACAGTCAAAGTGCCTGTTTTCTGAGTTCGCAGAGGTGTTATGCTTAGGTCTGAGACAAAGTCCTCCACCCAATCTCCTTACCCGGGCAGAGGTTCACAGAAGCACCCGCACGGATGGTTAAATCCTCGCACAAAACCTGGCTTTGGGGGACACGATGGGTGTTCCACGTGGGTAGCTGGAAGACATTCATGAGGTCAGTGAACTCACCTTCAGACAACAGGGACACCACCACTAGCACTGAAGATCCGCCATCTGCACAGGCCCAGTGACCGAAGTCCAGCAGGCCCCAAAGGGTTCTGCTGCCTATCAGCTTCCTTACGCTTACACCCACTCTAGTTCACACACACATGCACCCTCACCCCCACACAGCTTTTCCCCCAACCCTTTAGGAATTTAAGAAGAAAGAACATTCTAGAATCTAAGGCTCAGGGTAGGAGGAGAAAGATTCTTCTCTCAAATTTCAGTCCATAGAAGTGAGGATGTGTCTCCGAGCTTCCCTAGATGAGGAGGAATCGTGGGACTCTGTTGCCCACTGGGAAGGAACGGGGCAGAAAGCAACCACAAGATTAGGATGCTCCTGTGGACCCGACACACTGACATACAAAGAGAGCAAGTGCAATCCGCATGTTGACGGTGCGGACTGAGCTCAGCAGGGATCAGAACAGATCTGGGACACAGTAAGGCCCAGGTATTTGGTCTCCCCATTCTAGACCCTCGGGTACAAAATCTCCCCAACTCTACAAGGGAAGAAGATGGCACACATGAGCCTGCTGATGGTCCCCAATCACCCAGCTGTCCCCGAAGAGCTAGGGCCCCGCCTCTAGGACAGCCAGCAGACACCTCCCTTCACTTACCATTGGAACTGATGGTGCCGTCCTCGTATTTCTTCACCAACACCAAGTCCACAAAGTCCCTGGGAGAAATCAACTTCATGGCGGCCGAGGGTGTGGAGGTTCTGCTCACACACAGCATCTGCCGAAACAAAATAGGCTCAGGACTCCTGAAGACAAGTCCATCTCATACACAGCAGTATGAAGGAACTGCAAGCAGGAGAACCCAGAGGAAGTCTGGGGACCCTTGGGCACTTTCCAGCGGGTGCACTGAGGCCAAATAATTTCATCTTCACGTCTTAAAAAAAAAAAAAAAGGTTCTTCCCCACCCATCTAGTACCATCCTAGCTTGCAATGCCCTGGGTATAATTCCTTGCTGTGTTAAAGATCTGCAGGAATGCTGACTACAATATTTGGTCACGGTGCCCCACGCTGGGCTCAGAATGTCTGTTTCCCCTAAGCACAGTCCAAGACACAAGTCCGTTTCTGAATTCCCATATCTTGTAGCAGGCACCATAGAAGTAATCGTTGCTTTCTACAACTGTAACATCTGCTTCTGCTTCCATCTGGAGTCTGAGGGAAGCGTCTGTCTTAGGAATTACTGAATAGTCACTCTCTCCAGACCCTAGTTCACTTCAGGTTCATGGCTCCTCCACACATCCCTTACCCGTCCTCTAAGAAGAATCAGGATGTTCGTGAGCTGTCCGAATCATGCTGATGAATGCTATTGGAAAGGAAACGTCTTTGCCCCTTATCGTCACTGTTTCTCCTAATGAACAAGAGCCCCCTCTCGTCCTTGTCTTCACTGCTGTTCGGGCTGTCTAAGTTCCCCAGCCTATGCTTCCTCTCCTTAGCATCTGCGGAAAGCTGTGTCTTTCCGGCAACAGGCCAAATCTTTCGATGAACACATGAATTAATGAGAACAAAGAGTTCTCACACATCCCATGCAGAGATGAAAAAGACTTTTTCTCTTTGTGCTTAAGCATTCTTCATCCAAATTTCCGAATGTAATCACGTTACTTTAATAAATTCCACTCATACCTCAGGCTAGTACTTTTAAAAAAAAGAGTCTTGTGATCAAAAGAAATATTTAAAAAGTTCTTTTCAACATATACGAATATCTATAATAACATTTGGTGATGTCCAAGAAAACACATGTGAGGGATAAAATGGAGCGGGATGCTGAGTTTAGTGGTATAAGCATGTAATCTCAGCACTTGGTGGGCAGAAGCAGGTGAATCTCTGGAGTTCAACATCAGCCTGATATATACATCGAGTTCTAGGCTAGCTAGGGACCCTGACTTAAAACAAACAAACAAACAACTCAGTGGGCTGTGTAAAACAGAGTTCAAACAAAATAATTACATTCTGATTACAGGTACTTCTTATTGATGGTGTTTGTTTGTCAAATTGAAATGTAACCCTGCCAAGCCTGGAGCTCCTAAGTAGCCTGGCTGTCCCCAACCTTGTGATCTTCATGCCTCCACCTCCTGGCTGCTGGCATGACAGGTCTGCGCCATTTTAAAATGGGACATAATAAATACAAATCTGTATTATTTAGACAGAATTAAATGCCATTGCTTTTGCTCAAAAATAACAAACAGTACATGTCAAAAAAAACCAGACTTCATACTTTATGAAAATTAAGCTGTGAATTGGATGTTAGATAATAACATGTGTTGGAATGAGACATAGATTTTCAAAAATCTGTTCGAGGAAACACAAGCCAAAAGTTAGAAGATTCATGCTTCATGCACGAGAAGACTGACTGGGCTCAGCTAGGGGATATGGCTGCACCGGGATCAGGGTCTCTCAGTATAGCCAGGGACAAGCCAGCGTCCCCAGAGGAGCCAGGAAGCCCCACTAGCCCCAACCATTCAGCCATGCTGGAGAACTGACTTAGAAGGCAAGAGAATTCTGCACAGGTGAGTGGCTCGTATGCGGGGAACAGGCAGTGCCTGGAAAGCAATACCAGAGACAAACATCCCCTCTAGGGGAAGAGCCGAGAGGTAAAGCCACTGGGACCCAGAACTGGGGCTGAGGGGAAGGTGGCAGAGTTAGAAGGCTACTTTTGGTTCTCTTTGAGAGGTGGCACTGTGGCAGGAGGGGACCAGTTCCTGCTTGGCTCCTTTACCTGTGTGCACTTGGCAACTTGTCTTTACCCTTGTCAGACTGTCTTCTTCCCCAGGGCTCAGGACAGGGAGCTTGTAGCCAGAAATAGAACATCCAGTAACCACCTTGACAGCACTGAAGGGGTCAACCACCACAATGGCAGCTCACGTATCAGCCTACGGCTTTCTTAGTTTACATTCTCTTAGTCCCACCAACCACTGTACTGAGACCGAGAGGTGGAAATGTGCTCAAGAGACGGGGCCATGCCTGATCCCGAGAGACAGTGCACTGGGCTATGGGAATGGCTTGGCGGGTGAAGCCACTTCCTGTGTGAGTAGGGGACGGGACCTCAGACCCCCCAGGACCCACACACACAAGCTGGACGGGAGTAGTAACTCAGCTGTAGTTCCAGAAGGAAGGCAGGAGCCCCTGGGGGAGTGCCTGAAGCATGCTGGCTGGAACTGCTGGCTCCAGATTCAGCAAGAGATTCTGCTTCAATATATAAAGCAGGGAATGACTGCATAAGACACTTCTTGGGGCACCACGCACACATGAACAAGCATACACATATACCCATACATGTATACCCCCCCCAACACAAATAAGTAAGTCAAGTCCTTCTGTTATGGCATTTGTATTATATATAAAAGTCATTAACCAAGGGTTGCTCAACTTTACCCACTTGGGCATAATACTTTGTATTTTCTCTTTGCATCCTTTCCTTTTCTTGTACTGGTGTCACTTTAATCCAGAACAAGAAAATCATATCTATTTATTGTGGTTCTGCGAATGCCCCCACTTAGACCACCCACTGGCCTCACAGCGAGGGACAGCATGAGTTAAATAGCGTCAAAGGCTCACCAGTGCCTGAGATCCGCTCTCTTCTTATTGGTAGCAGAGGGATGGAAGAAGGGTTGAGACAGCACCATCCTCTCTGTGTGTTTTGATCCCATCTTTGACTGATAAGGACATGAAATTACCAATCTTCCCAGGGATTTCTGCCCCGTCCTTCAGACAACTCTGACAAAAAGTCTCCCACAGATAACAGACGGAACTGAAATGAGGTCAGGACAAAGGCACCTGGCTCCACAGCTTGGCCAGCTGCAAAACACTGTGAGGTTTCCCAATGCTACCTGCTTACATAAGCACCAGGCAATGCCAGAGAGGTCCTAGACAGCAACACTAAGACGCCATGCAAATCCCACAGGTTAGCCTCCCTAGCGTTGCTTGTGTACGTGTTTTCACTGCGGTTTTCTATTCTTCTGAGTGTCTTTGATCAAAATGAAGCAAGGCCTTAAAGTTAGAGATGATGCCAGGGCAGGCTCATCAAGGCTGCAGCTGTCTCCTGTAACAGCCCCTAGCCCACGCGGCTATTTAAATTTACATTTAGATTCGTTAAGATGAATAATTCATTTCCTCAAACCAGCCACCTTTTCAGGCTGTATGGCCCCATGGGAACCCGAGGCTCCCACACTAGACAAGACAGTTGCAGAACAATGCTGCCCCATAGCAAGGCTTTCGGTTGGGCAGGGCTGGTCTGTGGGGCACACACTTTCCTAAAGGAGACGCTGCAATCCGGAAGTAGTCCCTTGCAATGGTCCTACTGTGGGCAAAAGACTAAAATGGCTCTGTCAATGGCTCTGACAGGCTTCAAACTAATCTGCCAATCTAAACCCAGGATTGCCTCTGTGTTGCGGGGAGCCCAGGCTTGCCTGGAGTTTCCTCATCTATAGCCCCTGTCTCTGCTGGGGGTTTCTGGTCTCTCGGGAGGAGTCAGGCTGTTTCCAGAGGGCCGAAGCTGGGATGGTGTGCAAGGCACTCCTCTTGCCTTCAGAGGCGATGGGGTCAGGGCACTGCGGCAGGCGAGACACTCAGACGACATACCCAGTGGAACTTACATCTGTGATGCTTTGGACAATTTCAAAACTGGTCACATTGTCGTCCCATTTCTCCCGGAGGCCACCAGCAACTGGCTTTATGCAATCCCACACCTCTTCCACGGTCCCACACAGAATTCCTTCTCCTCGGTACCTGGAACACGGAGAAGAATTTGACCCAAGACATCAATTCAACTTGTTTATCTTAGGATTTTACATCAAGTCTATTATTACATGTCTGTCCTAGTTCTTGGGCTGACTGGCAGAAACGGGGCTAAAATATGCTAGCCCGCCTCCCCTCTAGCCTGCACAAACAGGTATGAAGCCCTCAAGGAACACAGCTTGCTAGAAGCGATTTAAAACACTAGCTAAGGCTTTTCTGGAAGACGACTGGGGATCACAGGGGGGCCAGGGTGGGTTGGAATCTCTCATGAGGCAACCCCAGAGAAACCAGGAAGGGAGTCGGGGCAAGCTTTTTTTTTTTTTTTGTTCGAAGGTGCACTTACAGATTCCCTGGAAATTCCTCAGACGGCCTCCAGGAAACTGAAACGCCATTCTGTCAAAAAGGCACAGAATGGAAGAGGTTTAGAGCTAGAGGAAGTCTCGGAGAGGGGATCTCCAAGGTCACCCAGCCCGTTCCTGGTACAGCTGGGATTCCTCATGGACTTCGCTGCCCCACAGCAGGTAATGACCAAAGAGATCCCGGCAGGCTGACTCCAGGAGTCATGCGCGCTTCTCCAATCGCCTTAAACGCCACCAAGAACTTTTGTTTCCTTAAGCAAGTTAGGGATATTTGTTTTAAAGAAAACATCAGAAGCGTCAGGAAAGAAAACGGTTTCTTTTCCTGGCAGTTTCTGGGAGAAGGGACCGTATAATTATAGTGTACGGAGGAAAGACTCGGTACCTGGAGTTGCAGATCCAAGCCTAACCTCAAACCAGTCAGGTGACCTTGAGTGTGTTCTCATTGAAAGGGGCGGGAATCTCCGGGAGTCCTAGAGAGCAGCCACCCTCCGTGGAATAGTTCCCTCAATCCACCTCCGGGCGCTGGGGTGCAGAAAATCTCAGGGAAAGGAGAAGCCTGGGAGTTTGGAAGACTCAAGCTCCTGGGAACAGTCTCCAGGACCCTTTCCCGCCCAGTCCCTCACTCACGCCTTCCCGGCACTTCTTCCAGCCTGACTCGTCCCTCCGATACCGGAGCACCTTCTCCGCCACTGCCTCACTCTCTTGCGTGGCCCAAGACATGTCCATCGCAGCGGCTTGCAGGGTCCCAGCTGTGCAGCACCGGTTTTGCTAGGCGGAAAACCGGGCCTTGGGCGGAGCCTGGAGCCCCGCCTTCGGGCTCCGCCTTCCTCTCAGAATTGGTCTTTGCTCTCAAACAATTCCGTCCCTCCGGGAAATTGGCAAGTCTGGAGATGGAGGCTGACTCTACCGCAAGAGTCATCTCTGGGCGGGATTCAGGAAGCCTGCTCGGCGTATGCCTACTTCTGGGCGGGGCCAGAAACTACTCCTGGGCTAGAGCCCGGCATGGTGATTTCTCCTTGGTGCTCAGAGGTTTTCGGCTCCGCCTGAGACCGTGCAGTTTTCATAGCAAACAACCCCTGAGCAGGTTTCTGAGGGGTGGCCGCGGGGATGTGGAGGAGCAGGTCGTGGAGGCAGGCAGGAGGGGAACCCACCTGCAACTGTTCAGGAGACCTGCTCAGGGATGTCCGCCTCCAATAGAACAAGCTGAAGTCTGTGGAAAGGCTACGAATCCCCATCGTTTCGCCTTGACTAGCTGGTGTCTTGGCTGAGTAGAGGAAGAAAGACCCATCGAAGGGATGGGGTGGGGAAAATGTTGAAACCAATGTCAGATCTACTTAGTTCCAGATGACCCGGTCGACATACATAGCCAACAGACAGTGCCATGTGTTGGCACCAGAAGGAAACCCTGGCTTTCCCTTGAGAGATTTAATCCTGATTCCGGAGATGGAAGCAGAAAGATCATGTATTAGAGGTCTGCCTGGCCAATTTAATGAGACCCTCATCAAAAGTCAAAAAGTAGAAAGAGGCCTGGCGACGAAGTGCAGTAGTACAGTGCTTACCTAGCGTGCGGTAGGACATGAGTTCAATCCCAGAATCATCAAATAAATAAATTACAAGCACTCCGGAATATTATCAGTAACTTCTGGACATAGAAGTAGCCAGCCCGGTGGGAGAGTGGGAACATCATTCTCTCTGTAACCACAGCCCAGGTTTCTTCTTCCAGCCTACCTCCAGCTGAATTGTTTGAAACCTGTTCTGTTTCCTTCAAAGGTTGGGGAGGTGGTATAGCAGTCACGTGACTTGAAAGTCCATTTGGAAGAAGTGAGGGACTGTCTGACTGAGTGAGGAATCCCGGCTACTTGGGGGCCAGACCCAGCATTGGCTGTGTGGATTTGGGCAGTTAGGTCTCTAACTTGAATAGCAGTTACAAAAACATGGCTCTCCCCATGCTACTGTGAAGAGCTCATGAAGGCACACATGGACATTGTTCTAGGAGTCATAAAGTTAATGGCTCACTTTGTTGTCCTTGAGAAATTGAGCATATAAAACCATCAAAGATAATAATCGGAGGTAAAATTGAGATACGTTTTAACTAAAAGTAAGTTATTCGGCTGTTAAAAAATAGCTTTAAATCATTGAGAAATGTCAAACAAACTGTATACAAAAAGAAAGCATCATACATGGAAAGATACTTTGTGACAAAATAAATGACCACGACACAAAAGATGTAGAACCCTTGGCATAGAGAATTACAAATTAAATGAGGAGACCTATCTAGTGGACAAACGGAACAAGCTGTGTTAGGGCCCTGTGTTAGTAACAGTACTTGAGAGAGGATTTTTCCTCATGGCAGATGCTAACATACAAGTGTGCAATGTTTTGCAAACATATGATACATATTAACAGTTGTCTGTGCTTCCTCTTTAACCCAACAACCTCACCTGCATGGAGGTATGGAAGATTGCCCTTGTAATGGAAACAAACTTATTTGTCAATGCATTAAGCCAAGTTACAAGAGACCCATTATGTGGGATACTGTGTAACCACTAAACTCCTATAACACAGGGGACGGAACTGAGGCTGGCGCCATGGAGGATTGCTCAAGAGAGCAGAGGCCCAGACTGAGTTATTAGGAGTCAGCCCTTCTCAACAGCCATTTGCTATTGGAGAACGTGGGTAGACTTTAAAGCTTAACTGGGTACAATGTAAGTTCCTATCTTTCTTCAAATGTGATCTCTGATTAAGAACCAATAGGGAAAGATGGTCATGTGGTACATCACATAAACTAATGACAGTCATTTGGTACATCACATAAACAAGTCAAAAATACAAGCTGAATGTAACAGTGTTGTTACAAAGGCCTGTGCTTAGAACCAAGCATGGTAGCACATGCCTGTAATCTGAGCACTCGGGAGGCAGAGGAAGGAGGATTACCCGATGCTGATGCTCACTTGGTGTACATATTGAGTTCCAGGCTTGGCAGGGCTACAGGGTGTGACTCTATGGAAAGCAAGCGAGCGAGCAAGCAAGCAAGCAAGCAAAGAAGCAAGTCAGCTAGCCTTTGGGCAGATGGGTAAATGAGTAGCCATTCCAGACCTTAAAATTCCACCCCCCCTTTTTTTTTCATTTGAAAAGTGAAATAAAAAAATAGTAGTTGAAACAAAGGTAAAATGGCTTAATAGTGACTAGCAATCAGAATGGCATTTGATGTGCAGTAAACATTTACACACTATACCCTATCTGTGTTCAGTTAAGTGCATATAGGTCTTGAGCAAGAAAGGAGTGTGTGTGTGTACGTGTGTATGTGTGTGTGCACATGTACGTGAGTTTGCTAAAGTTTATATATAACTGTGCAGCCCATGAGGATGTCCCTTTGGTCAATCATAAGCAGTATGTACAATGGTGGTCCCTTAGGATAATGTCCCCCAGTGTACCTCTTGCTCTTCATAGGAGCACACTGTTACATTTACACAATGACAAAAGTCCTTCATGACTCCTCTTTCAAGACATTTATCCTTCACGAAGCACTGCATGCTAGGGATGTTGATATGTTTCTGTGTTCAGAACGTTCCAGTCTAGTGAGGAGTGATCTTATCTATAGGACAGAGCCAGCTAGGCACTCCCTTTTCATTTTATCTCCTCGTATGCTGCCTCATTATTTCATTTACTACCATATTTTTTCTTTATTTTAAATGCCTGTCTTAATTAGGGCTTGCGATTGCCGTGAAGAGACATCATGACCACAGCAGCTCTTATAAAGAAAGCATTTTGTTAAGGGTGACTCGTTTACAGTTTCAGAGGTTTGGTCCATTGTGATCATGGAGGGGAACATGACAGCGTGCAGGCAGATGTGATGCTGGAGCATCCACCCTGCAGGTGACAGGAAGTGGACTGAGTGTCACACTGAGGGAAGCCTGAGAAAAAGAGACCTCAAAGCCCGCCCCCACAGTGACACACTTCCTCCAACAAAGCCACACCTCCTAATAGAGCCACTCCTTTAGGGACCATTTTCTTTCAAACCACTACCATGTCTAATTAGAATTCAACATAATGTATTTCTACAAAGTTCTGTGACGCCAGCTTCAGAGTCAGGTTGGGATCTATTAGAATTTTGCTTGAGCCTAAACAATATGATAACAAAAATGAAGAAAGGTAAGTCTTGGTTTTTATTTTTCTTTATGTTGGATATGAACTCAGGCATGTGAGGATAATGCTGTAGCCACTGAGCAGCACACCAGTCCAAGAAAGCCAATATTAGTCTAGGAAATGACTTTCAATACTATCCATATCCCAGAGATGACTATGTTCAGAGTGTTGTGGGCAGTTTTTATTTTTTTTTACAAAAGCGCGACTTTTATTTATAGTGTGTGTCTATGTGTGCATATGTGCATGGACGTATCAAGGCCCACCGAGGCCAGAAGATAATATAAGAGACCCCAGAGATGGAGTTACAGCTGATTGTGAGCCAACCAACCTAGATGGGTACTGGGAACCGAATTAGGGTCCTCTGCCACAGTAGAGTGTGCTCTTGATGGCTAAGTCATTGCTCCAGAATCTACACAAACAAAAACAAAGTTAATTAACTTTGGTCCTTGCCCTCAAAAAAATGGGAGATCCTGTGTAGACAAAATATTTAGAGAAGCGCTTTTATATCCAAGGCCTGTGGCAAACTCCTGTGGAAGGCAGGTGAGACCCTAGGTAGTCTGGAGCTGCCCTGTCTGTTTTGTTGCTGGAGGTAAGCCCAGAGGAGGGAACGCAACCGACTGGAGCAGAGAGGGGCTAACCAGTACCCATAGACCACTCCTAGGGGGACAGACACATGTTCCTTAGAAGTCTGTGTGAGGGTGAAGTTCAGAGCTGACGGGGAAGAGGAAGAATTGAGCACAACAGGTTTGTTGGTCAGTGTCGTCCCACAAAGTCCTGGCCTCTCAGGCCACCAGGTTCCCTGGCAGGCCTCACAGGACCCCTAGCTGGCTTTGAGGTAGGTGTCCAGGGCAGAGCTACCACAGAATATTCATTGCATTAGCTCCAGACACTGTGAATCCAGTAAATAAGTAAGGAGATGCCCATGTGTCATTCCCTTAGCAACGGTTTCTGTTTGTTCAAGTTTACGGCTTGACAACTGCTGTCCTACACGAGGATTTTACCTGGATTGAGTCATTTAGCATCTAATCATGTAGTCACAGCACGGTGAGGGGGAGACCAGTGGCTCCAAGGGCTTGGAAAAGAGGAAAGGAACCAATCACTTGCAAACAAACAGATGGAAAGAGAAAGCACACATACTATGTAGCGATTTTTAGTTAGAGGTTTTAAAAGATTCATTTGATTTTTAAGTGTGTGTGTGTGTGTGTGTGTGTGTGTGTGTGTGTGTGTGTACACGCACGCACGTGCGCACGCACACATGAACAGAGTATTCAAGGAGGCCAGAAGGGAACATTGGAGCCCATGGAACTAGAGTAATTGGCAATGATAAGCCTCCCAACATGGATGCTGGAAATGGAACTCAGCCCAGGTATCTTCTCGAGTCTATGCCCTTTTAACCACCAAGCTGTTTCTTCAGACCCCCAGACTTGTAACAATACAGTGGATCCTGCTACCAGGAATAGTTTGATGACACGGCGAGAAAACAGACAATCTCCCTTGCCACGGACCATTACTCAACCACACAGGCATCTTGTGAAACCACAGTTCCATAAGCAAACTTGATGAAGCAACTTGGTAGCTTTCTGTTCTAAAGCACAGATAAGGGCTGGTAGTCCCAAAGCGGAGGGAGGTGAGTGATCAGCGGGCTATGCTTTTGTTAGGAGCTTTCATGGAAGCCCATTCACAACGATGATGGTGACTTGGCTGGAGAGTAACAGATTCACAACGTGGCAGGAAAGTGAGGAAAAATGCTGAGAGGCCAATCACCTATCAGCTCAAAGAAAGGCAGGAAAAGAAAAGCGCAGAGTGATTAAAAGCACTTGATTTATTATTTTTCCATCAGATTGATAGAAATTGCATAATGTGGCAAAATGAAGTTTTGGGTGAGACTATAAGGAAGACGTTCCAGTCATCTGCCAAGGCAGGGGATGCAGCATCTGGGCTAGCAAAGAATTAGAAAGAGGAAACTGAGGAAGCCTGATATGATTGTCTCCAACAAGCACAGGTTTCTCTTTATAAGAAATAATAACTTCAATAATAGCTTGCAAAGAAAACATACAAAAATTAGTACACCTTTTATTTTATTTATTTATTTTTTTTTTGAGACAGGGTGTATCTGTGTAACAGTTCTAGCTGTCCTGGAACTAGCTCTTGTAGATCAAGCCGGCCTCAAATGCACAGAGAACTGCCTACCTCAGCCTCCCGAGTGCTGGGATTAAAGGTGTGCAACACCACAGCGTGGCTAGTACACCTTTTAAATCGGGAAGATAAGGAAATCGTTTCAATATCCTTTGTGAAGAAAAGGAAGAGATATTATATAGCCAATATCCTTTGTGAAGAAAAGGAAGAGATATTATGTAGCTTATCCAAATAATGAAATACTAAACAGCTGTCATAGGGAGTTTCATCTGTGCATACTTCTATAATAGATTTCGAAATACAAATAAATGCAGTGATAGATGTAGGGTAATAGCATTGACTTAATGTAGACGGAGACTGCTCATTTGCTTCCTGGCTGCCCAGACCCTAATAATAACACAGGAACTATATTAATTACAACACTCTTTGGCCAATAGCTTAGGCATATTTCAAGCTAACTCTTACATATCAAATTAACCCATTTCTATTAGTCTGTGTATCGCCACGAGTCTGTGGCCTACTGGTAAGGCTCTGGCTGGCAGCTGGCATCTTTCTCCTTCGGCATCTACATGGTGTCTCCTCGACTTCGCCCCTCACCTTGCTACTTGGGGTGAAAATCCCGAGAGTTAAGACGAGCTTGCTTGTGTCGAGAACTGGCAAGAAGGTAAATAGAACATTGTGAATGGGGAGATCGGTGCACATGCGCCCAATAACAGAAAATGTTCACAAAATTTGGCCCGACCACAACCTGGCACTATTGTGCCACAACTGTATACAGACATGCAAGAACGTCCCTCTGACCTTGGGCTGGTGCCACCCTTGTTGTTGATCTTAGTGACAAGGAGAGGTAACTGAAACAGCTTAGGCAAGCTTCATTTGCTTGTGAAACCTTTGCTCCTGACTGTGTGTGTGCCCATGGTTTACAGTGCTATGGAATTATCAATGTGATGCTCTCTGTTTTCAGAGAAATTCAATCTGTGGAGAGTTCCCTTTGTTATTCTGATAGAAAGCAGTGCCAGAAACCGTGTGGTTTCTATTGTGTGCCGTTACTGGGAATGTCGAACCATGGTGCCACTTTTGTTCCAAAGCTACTCGGAGTATAGTTGAGGAGACAGGAATGTTAGAAGTCGGAGTGTCTAAAAGGAGATATGGGAATAGGAGTCCGGGCACACACAGCTCCCAAGCCCTGCACAAGGTCAGTCAGAGGATCCAGGGAACAACTCCTTGAGGGCAGACCCAACGGGAAGTAGATAACCTCAGCTTGGCTCTTTCCCTTGGGCTTGTTGGGTGAAGGCTAGAACCTTGGCATCTCCATGGCTGTGAATTCTTCACCTCCTACCAAAAGGAAGTCTGTTGGCAGTGGGCAAAAACAAGGTCAGCAAACACAGAGAGTCAAGAGGTGAGAAGTCAGGCGCTCTCAGGGATGGATGTTGGAGCCCTACTTCCAGCTGCGGATGCTGAGTCTCAATCCCCATCCTCCTCAGTGAAGTGAACCAGGGAGCCCCAGGTGTAAATTTGGACTCCTGTCTGATCCATATCCTGATTAGCTAAATATAGAGTTAAAGACGCTTGCGGTGCACTGCACTGGCCGCCACTAAACCGATTGTCCTCATAAACTAAATGCCGTGACCACGTCAAGGGTGGCCACTTGAGTTTGCTCACTATAGAGTGTCGATACTTGAAAGAACACATGGCCAAAGAAAGCACTCACTCAGGTCACTGAAGATGAACAGAGTGTCAAGGTTGGTTTTCGCAGTCCTGGTGAGATGTCTGGCTTGCTGGTGAGCATGGCCAGCCACCCTGAATGGAATCAAAGGCCTGATGTTTTCCTGAAAGTACAGCCCGATGGGGTGATGTGTGCTAGCCATTAGGAAGCACCAGGAGTGGCCACTCACACACCATTGCTGTGAACAGGAAGTGACGGCCCCAGGGTCTCAGAACCTCAGACAGTAGCGGCGCCTAAAGAAGCTCCACAGATCTCTAACATCCCCAGAGAGGTTCTCCCTTCCAGAAAGGGTGTGACTGTGCTCCCAATACTTCCCAAAGAGACCCAGTCTTTAGGAAGGGACATTGAAAGAAGCCTAGACATTTGAACAAATTAGGTCATTTAGATCCGTGGGCAGTGCCTGCCTGGACTTGGCCTTCCTCCTGCCCAGTTGGCTGGCAGACCTCGGGAATCTGCCTTGGCTGGACATGACCTGCAGGTATTGGTCATTGTTGCTGTTCTGCTGGTCACTGCTGGAGGCCGCTGACACAGAATCAGATTCTGTCAAGGATGGTTCAAACTTGGCTTTGACTCTGGGTGTCAGAGGATGCTGTGGGTAATGGACATTCCTGGGTCGTGGCTTTTTGTGTACAAATGGGGGCCCTTCAAGCTGCCCCTCAAAATTATCATCCCCATATCGGTAGTACAACCTTCGCTGGTACTCGGGGTCTCTGACGTCACTTTCTGGTCTGTCTCCAGTGTAAAAACGAGAAGCCCGAGGAAGGTCTGTCAGGGAGCCGTGGGGGATGGGCCATTGGACCAAATCTGCCCTCAGCATCTCCTCCTCTTCTTCACTCAGCTGTGGTGAGCAAGGCTGGTGGGGGCCCCAGGACATGTACCGCTGTACGTTCCTGGGGTACAGTTCCACAATGTCGCCTAAGGCATCAATCTTGAAATGTCTCTCTGGCCAGAAAGTCGGGTGGGTCTTCCTGTGACAGTCACGTTCATTTACAACATAGTATCTGGGAGTACGGGGTCTGTGGCCGTGTGTCATCAAGGCAGAGACCCCAGGCCTACAGAAACGAGGTCTGATTGGCTGAAAGTCTTTCCGGGAAAGAGGCTCTGAACGGACATCCTTGAGGGGCTGTGTCTGTGTCACGGATGTGTAGGATCTGTTCTTGTGGAGGTTGCCTGTGCTGGCACATGGCCCCTGCAGGCACCTGTAAGACAGAAGTGGTTAAGTAGCTATGGTCTCTCTCTCCCTCCTTCCAAACCATCTGTGGGTGATGCACTCAGGGACCACACTGGACATCTCAGAGACCTCATACAACAAGGGATGCCAGTCGCCATGGAGATGCCTGGCAAGCGCATGTGATATCCTATCACAGAGCACTGGCTCTGTTAGGAGCATTTCATGGGACCAATGTTTGTGGAGTGCATTTTAGGAATACTACTCCAGTGGCCAAATTGCCCTCCAGGTTCTCAGCCTCTCCCTTAAATTTCCACGTGAGGGAGATATAACTGCTCCAAGGACTAGTGACTGGTTTGACACCCCAACCCCCTATGACCCCCCAAGAAGGACTTAGGTCCCTTGCTACTTGCCTAGGTACCACAAGATATGAAGAAACTTGCTTAAGACAAAATCTTGGTTTCTATGATAACTTGCAGAAAGGAAAAAGAAAAAGTGTATTTATCTCTTTGGGTAGAGCCATTCCTTTCCCCAGGGAACCTCAAACAAGACTACTCACTTGGTTTCCTGTGACCATATTCTGACTTCCTGTGTCCCTGAGAGTGACATATTTTCATCTTATCAATTGCAATCCTGCCAGGTGTTCAGGAGGAATCTCTTCTAAATTTCCTAATAGCCTTCTGCACATAATAACTTCAACCCCTATTGCAACAAACACGGCAGCAAAACAAAAACAAAGGACTGTGGCTTTCCTCGAGGAGTCCACACCCCTGCTCTCCAGTACATCCTAGCTTTCCTTCATGTCCCTCTGTGCCACTTCGCCTTCCTGCTTCAGCCTGTATCAAAATGACTTTTCTAACCTCAGCGCTACTTCATAAACTGGCTAGTCCTGAAATTCTTCCCGAGGCGGAAGCTACAGATCACAGTTTGGCCTGCATCAGGTCTTTAAAACTCTTGGGGGACTCCTGAGGCTACTGTGCCTTCTGCTTCTGCACCCCCAAATCCTGTCTGGGGACACAAACTGTTAAAAAGCCATCTGATTTTCACAGGCTACAGAAATATGTGTACGAGGCGGCAAGAAAGATTTTCTTACAGATTATGTAGTAATGGAAGGTTGGAAAAATCTGGACCTCCCCTCCCACTTCCCACATCCTCAGGGTCCCAGCGGTCCCTGCCTTCTGACTCCCTCTATTAGACCTGGAGTTCAATGTCCCCAGCCTCTTCTGGTCCTGCCACCAGTATCGTACTCAAGAAGTCGACTTTCTTTCTGGGTCAGAGGTCACCCTCACCTGCTGGCGTCCTGCTCTGGCCTGGCTCTAGATCCACCTGGAAGAGGAGAGCAGGGGCCCCTGGACCCTTGCCCAGGACTCTGGGGCAGGGACCTTGTGACCGTCTCCATCCTGAGGCTCTTGCTACTCAGAGAGTCAAAGTTGACCATGGTGCCATTGTTTTGGGGCGTTGCCAAGTATGCTGAGGACAGCTGGCTGACGAGGTCACCTTCCTTTAGAAGCCTCTTGGTGCTTTCTTCATGAGTCTGGATTCGAGCTGCGGGCAGAGGGAGGAGCAGATGACATGTCCAGCTCTACTATGCTTTGACCCTTAAGTCCCTCACAAGGCCCGTATGCTAAGACCTGGTCCCTAAGGTGGCACCTTTAAGACTAGGGCCTGGTGGTGAGTACTCTGGTCATAGGGGTCATATGCTCTGAGGGGATTGTGAGAACCTGTTCTGCTTCGGACTGTGGGGTGAACAGACTTGCTGGGCACACACTGGCAGTGTGGTGTACTCCCTTCCTGAACAATGGGGACAGTGGAGCAGATTGGAACCTGGAACCGTGAGCCAAGACAGACGTTACTGTCTCTATAAGAAAGTGATGTCAGGTGTTTGTTATCCTGACAGAAAGCTGGCTGACACAAAACTGATTCAGCTGTAGGACTTCCATAAGAATGCAGATTACAGGTGTCAGCCGTACCCACAAACACGGCGAACCCAATGGTCTCCAGGGAGCTTAAGTGAGAACTCGAGGAACCCAGGGCACCCCAAGACTACAGGGTATAATCAGCAAGGCAGGCTGATTGAGAAAGTTTCTGTGGATCCTGCTTTGGGGGCGGCTCTGCCTAGATTAAACAATGATTCTTGATTGACGAGTGATCTCTAACAGATACAGTGGGTTTTATAGCACAAGCCACAGTCACCTTGGAGTGTGATGCTTAGGCCTGAGTCTCCTAGAGGAGATGAGGTCTCTTCCAGAGAGCTCACCTTAAAACAGTCACAGGGACTGGCTCATGACAACATTTGAGTACCATGGCAGGTGGTGTGTGCTGTGCACCAGTCCAGTGGTACCAACTGAGCATCCTGGTGCTCAGTGCACTCTACTGGTGGCCTTAAGAAGCAGAGTCACTGCTTCTGTTTTGAGCTGTACCTGCCCACCTCCCAGCCCTCAAATCTGGCCTTCTAGCCACATCAGATCTTGCTCCCCACACTTTTCCTCTCTTTTGGGCCATAGCTTTCTCTTCGTGATGGGTTTGAGTTTAGAGAACTGGAGGAAAGACAGTATGGCCTTGGAGAGTCGATGACTTTGAATCTTTACTCTGGAATCTGCTTCAGTGGCCAGGCCTGCCTGCCTGGCATCACTAGGTAGTACGTACGGAGAAGACCCGGGCAGAGGCCAGGGATGTGGGCTCACGTGGGAAGAGATGGGTGCCTGAGAGGACATATATCGTGTGGTCAGACACACAGGCTCTTGAGCATTTTCCACCCTACCATACTGAGTTTTCTCTCCTGTTTCAAAGCCCCTTTCTGATGACAGAGGTCAGGGACTTAGTTACAGGCCTGGGCATGATTAAATCAAAGGCCCAGAGCTGTGGATAGCCCTAGGTTTTCTTTAGTGCGCCCACTGACTTGTGAAAACCCCGCAGTGGTTATGAGGCATTTTCACAAGTGGTAGGCCTTCTGCACTTTCTCAAAATGCCCATCAACTTAGAGAGTAGACATTTGTATTTGAAGATTCACTTACCCTCTACCATCTGGGCAACCTTTTTCTTATCTTCAGATCTTGCCTGAAATGTAAATGACAATCAGTTTGCTTCAGGCCTGAGAGGAGGCGGTTAATGTTTTACTTTGGGGAGAGAGAAGACTTAGGTGCTATCATTCCGACCTCAGGCATGATAGCACCAATGAGAACAGAATGCTCAGTAATAGGGATGGTGATCTGTATGCTGTGTTTACCGTTGATAAATAAAGAAACTGCTTTGGATCTATAGCAGGGCAGAACTTAGTTAGGCGGGAAAAACTAAGCTGAATGCTGGGAGAAAAGGGTGGAGTCGGGGAGAAGCCATGGAACTGCTGGAGACGGATGTGCTGAACCTTTGCTGGTAGGCCACAATCTTGTGGTGATGCACAGATTAATGGAGGTGGGTTAAATTAAGATATAAGAGTTAGCCAATAAGAAGTTAGAGCTAATGGGCCAAGCAGTGATTTAAATAACACAGTTTCTGTGTGGTTATTTTGGTTCTGGGCAGCCGGGACAAACAAGCGTTCCTCCTCGAAGACTGGACCTGCTACTTGAGTAAATAAATACAAAGATGGAAGAGCCAGGGCTTTACACCTGTTGGGTTTACTGTAAGGACAACTAATTCATGGGTGTGTGACATTCTTCCAAGTCAGGCAGAGTATCCTGTATCTGAAGGAGTTGGGACCCATAGTTTTTCATATTCTGGTTATCTTAGCAATAGGATCCAAATCTCAAATGAGCTTTATTTCTTTTCATCTGTACTGAGTACATGTGGCCTAGAGGAGATTTTATAGAATATTACTTTTGATAATTTTGGGCACAGAACACTTTCATAGTGTAGAATTTTCCACATGTGGCCTCATGTTGACGGCCAGAGACTTTCAGGTCTTGAAGCAATTTAGATCTTTAGATTCGGGAGGCTCAGCCTGATGTGGCTTCAGTCTCAAAGAAAATACAGATCAACCACTAGGGAAATATCCACAGGCAAAATGCTTTGCAACTGGAAGGGGATTTCTAACTTGACATTTCGCAAAGCTAGCTTGTTACCCCTTTACATACATTTGAATTTGTGGGAGCACTTGTTTTTCTTTCCTTAAGGAAAAGGGTGCAGAGAGTTGTTCTTTAAAGATGGTAAAGACAAAGAAGGTGAACAGGACACCACACTTAAGGAAGTATGATTCTCAGTGTTATGAAAGGTAGGGTAGGCCGGACCAAGAGAAAGCCTCCTTGAATTTGGTACCATGGATGCTTCCCTGTCCTCCTCCAGACCCTAAGAGGGGGGGGGATACAGAGGAGTAGTTGTGGTAGGGCTGAAACTGTCTGCCTCAATTTGGTTACTTTAGGAGAGGATGTGAACCCCAGGTGGAAAGGAGTTCACACCAGCCATATCTAAAGGATAAGAAAGAGGAGAAGAGGAGGTTAGGGTGCAAACAGCCCTAGGGGATCAAGGGTTAAAATCGATCCAGGTTAGGTTAGGGTGGCTCCTCACCAGTCTATTAAAGTCTGCAGAGGTGCCGGGCACCTTGAGAATACTCAAGTGAGCAGGGTTGCTCCCAGCAAATGTCAGCAACCCACAGGGTATTCTTAGAAATCACTTGAGGGGACTTCATGGGTAGCCACTTTATACCATAGTAGGTGACCAAGTGACATTAGAACCTGAGGGTTTGAGTTCCTTTGCACTGTCCTGCTGGCAAGGGTGCAGGCATATGGCCAGGGTTGACGTTGCCACGGATGAGAGTGGAGTTCAGATGATGCTTACATTTTGGATCTGCATCCTGAGCTGCTGGCTGCTGAGTTTCAGGGACCTGGCGATGCTCTGAAGGTAGTAGATGAGCATGCTGGAAAGGACATGGAACAGTGAGTGGGCTGAAAGGACACGGAATAGTGAGTGGGCATCAGCTGGCTCTTTAGCGTTCAGGTCCTACTCAGGCGGCAGAGGAAATGAGCGCTCCCAGGTCAGATATGGGCTGCCCACTGACTACTGAACCCCGAACAAATATGTATCTGCCTTTCCTACCTCCCTTCTGTTGCCTTCAATTTCTGCACCCTGACAGTAAAAACAAGATACCAAGATCAGCAGGCTCTTTGCAGCCAATCAAGCGGTAGGGGTAGGTGCTTGTTTTCCTTCTCCCTGAAAACACTCTTAAACATAAGCGACTGAGCGGAATTATGACATATCAAAATTATCTACATTGCTGCAGAGTACTGTACTGGTACTAATAGTATCCAGTCCCATCATAGTGGCCACAGTAATCTACCAGATGCTGTGGTTGAATCAGTAGCTATGTAGATGTCTCTCTGTAGCATGGTGGCTTGTGCCATTCTAAAGTGTGGCTCAGATAATCAACTCCTGTAAGTGATTTCTGAATGGACTAATTTCATTTAATTATTGGACAGTAGTGTGATCATGTGGACACACACACACACACACACACACACACACACACACACAGAGCTGTCCTTGAAGGGTGAGGGGTGTGGCATCCTCTAGAGGCTGAGAGGCCTCTAAAAGAAGAGACCATCTCTTGAAGATGCTCCTTCAAGGCTGGGAGTTATGACAGACGCTGGAGGCTGGGAGATGTGGTGACCCCTGGAGGCCGGGAGGTATGACAGCCTCTGGAGGCTGCGAAGTGTAGTGTCCCCTGGAGGCTGGGAGGTATGATGGCCTCTGGAGCCTGGGACGTGCCCCCTGGAGGCTGGGAAGTGTAGTGCCCCCTGGAGGTTGGGAGGAATGATGCCCCCTGGAGGCTGGAAGGTGTCGCACTCACAACAGAAGCAGTACGGCTGGGAGGATCACCACGGGGCTGCTGATGTGTCCCACCACAATGTGAAACCATGCAGGGAAGTCATTCTCTATTGTCTCTGACACGATGTCATAGATCTTCTCTTGCCCGCTGTAAGAAAGGGAAAGATGACTCCAGATGTGACTGCTTTTGGCCATGGAATGATTCAAGACCTATCAAAAATGTTTGGGTGTCTAGAGGCGGAGTTCCAAAGCCAGCTACAAAAGCTGGAGGCAAATCTCCAAATGGCAAAGATGCCTAATGTTCCCACAAGTTCTGTGAAGCAGTCATTTAGCTACCCAGTAGGACCGGAGGTGGGCAGTTGATCACAGCGCGAGCACCCTGACATTTTAATGAGTAAATGCAGACACCTCCAAGGGTTTGGGTGTCAAAATTAAGTTGGCTTAGGCATCAGTGGAGACTGCAGTTGAGATTTCTGTACAGCGAGGTACTGTAGACTGAAAATTGCCATGGACTGTCTTTATGTTAAGCTTCTGGCTTCAGCCATATAGACTGGTATATAACCATCTTCCCTTTCCTTCCCTCCCTCCTTCCTTCCTTTTACTTTCTTTCTTTTTTCTTTCTTTCTTTCTTATTTTAAGATTATAGTATAATTGCATCATTTCCTCCTTTTATTTTTTCCCACCAAACCTATTATAGACCCCTTCCTCACGCTCTCTAAAACACATAGTGTCTTATTGTATTAATTGTTATATGCATATATACATATACACCTATTTCTAAATACATAAATACAACCTGCCTGGTCTGTAGGTTTCTTGTATGGACATTTTCAGTTTTGAGACAGAGTCTTACTTGGTATCTCAGGCTGGCCTTAAATTATTGACAATCCTCCTGTCTCAGCCTCCCAAACACTAGGATTTAGAGGTGTGATGAACCATACTAGGCTTCTTTTTTCCCCTCTTACTTAAAAAGATCATATCATATTATATTACATTATATTCACTGATCTGTTTATTTGTTTTCTTATTTTTTTTTTTGCCTGTGCGTGTTACCTGAAGGGGCCACAGTTCAGAGACGGTTTGTAGTGGACAATGGCAAAGATGGTTGGCAGCATGCAGAGGAAGAGCATGAACAGGAGCATGGCCAGGTAGAAGTTGTTGGATCTGCAGAAAGACCGGTTATCATGCAGCGTTCATTCCGGAACCTGAATGAGTGCATCCTAATAACCCATCCAGAGTCAGGCAGAAACCTCTGGAGATAAAACTGGTGTCTAATCAGGGGCCCAGATGGCTCAGTTGGTAAAGTGCTTGCTGTACAAGAATGAAGACCTGGGTGAGTTTGATCTGTAACAGTTCTAGAAATCCCAGCACTGGGGAGGCAGAGACAGGAGAGTCTTTGGGACTCATTGTCCAGTCAGGCTGGCCAGACTGGCAAACCATAAGGTGGAGAGTAACTGAGAAAAATCAAACTCTGCCTTCCATACTTATGCACACACATGTGCAATGTACCCAAGTGTATTGTATGTATCCAAATACATACATAAACTAGCATGTGCTTGAATAAGGCATGCTTGAGTGCTCATGCACGCGCACATACACACACCCCTGTGCTGTGTGTGAGGGGCCTGCACAGCACAGAAACCTGGAAATCAGCTTTCAGCAAAAGGCTTCCAGCCCAGACAATTCACTTCACTAACCGTGGCCGGGCACTTGTAAGTTGTAAGCCACGAAGGCGGTGGCAGTGGCTCCACCCCGTGTGCACGGCTTCTACCCAGTTAGTGCTATGTGCGGCAATCTTAGAACTGCTGCCCACACACCTGGGGCCCTACCTAATTGTAGTGAAATATTAACAAGGCCATCGCACCTGCCATTTCCTCTGGAGGGATGGCCACTTAGGCCTTGGAATTATCTCTTGTAAATATCAGTGATTGTTATCTGAGATTTATGGGGTCGCTCTACCTTGGAGATTTCAGAATCTCAGTTGTGAGACTTTCCAGGCACACCTGGACTTCTTCTAATGACTATGTTTGCTTAGGTAATGGTTCCGTAGGACAACTCCTAGTTCAGATAAGAGATTCAGATAAGTGAATTCAGGAATCCACTCGTGAAATGATCTTTCATGTATCTATCAATAAAAGGATCTCTTACAGAGCTCCTGGCCAGTCAGTCCACCAGACTGGTTCCCTTGCTGCTTTTGCTGAGCCCGAATTCATTTTGCACATGCTCTCTTTCTTCGACTGACCAGTATTAACTTAGAACACTGATGTCTGGTGCCTTCCTTTCCTGCTGCTGCCTGAAGCTTGCCTCCTGGGTCTCAGAAATAAACCCTCAACCATCTGCCTTGGATGACATTTTTCTCTCTGCTCCTTACTGTGCAGAGTAAATAGTCCCAGGCTGGTATCAGGACCTTCAAGCGTCTGGCTTCCCCAACAGTGACTCAGACTAATTTGATATATGAGGCCCTGTATATAGTTTATTGGTCTTGTGATGCTCAACTACCCTGTCTGTTGATTTCCCCATCTTCCCCATTCTCTGACAAAAAGGGCTTAACCAGAAGTCCTGCATGGAAGGCGTTAAGTAGGTGCTAATGCTTGTACCCTCTGCAGTCCATACTGAGGTGTGGTTGCCTTTGTGGGGTCTTTGGGAGGTGCAGATTAAATTAACTACATGTAAATATATAAGACCACATATAACCAAACATAAACATAACTGCATACTGGTCACCATGTAAAATATAAATAGAATGCTTTTCAGGTCATGGTAAGACATTTGATAGCCACTGACAGATCAGACAGTCACAGATAATTAATCAATTAGTTGCTGTGATAATTAATGTGATAATTAAATTATCAGATAATTATGTAACAAAACACTGTAACTGAGGTCTAATCAGGAGACTCAAAACGTGTTATGAACTCAGTCATGTGGCTAAGATGAAATTCAGGGAAGAGTAAGCAGCGTCAGGATCGTAGAACAATCCAAACTTTTAACCAACTGTAAAAACTAATGTGTGTGTGCCCTAACACTCAGCCTGCCACCCTGTGGTGTGGGCCTGGCCAAAGGAACACGGTCAAGGGTGTTGGGCGTTACAGTCAGCAACTGGGAGCAGCCACAATACAGATAAACAAACGTGGAGGCCAGTTTTGTGTGTTTGCTCAGCAACACAAGGAAGGAAAACAAATTGTTGAGTAAAGAACAAAACAAACAGCCCTGAACATAAAGGAACACATTCTGTGTGTGTCCTGTTCAACACAAACGACAAAACCAGGCAAACCCAGCTAGTTCTAGAGAAATCAGGGTGACAGGAAGGAGAAGTGATGTGTTTTGGGAATCACACACGTTCCGCTCATATGTGGATGCTGGTTGTACCTTTGTGTTCAGCCTGTGAACGTCCAAGCCTGGTACTTTCTAACCTGTGCTCTTTTACCAAATAGTCCCTAGGCGTCAGTAAAAACTTAAAGAACAGACGTGCCAAGAGCTTTCAAGGGATGTGTTAGCATTCAGGCATTCTGCTGGCCTGTGCACCGTCACCTGTCAGGATGTGCTTGTCAATGCTCAGGCAAATACCTAGCCAGTCTCAATCTGCTTGCGTGTGCTGCGTGGCTGCTGCACGCATATGCCAAGGCCCCTTTAAAAGCAAGCTCCACCGGTTCCTCCCCACCCCCCCACTAATTCCCGCTGCTCCTCCTCCAAAGAGGCAGGCAGGACTTTCTGCACGCCCCCATCCAATAAACTCTCAACAGGAGTTCTGTAACACCCCCCCTGCCCCTCTCCCCGCCATTTTTTTTTTAAAAAAATATAACGGGATTATGACTGATTCCAAAGGGGAGGCATAGGCAGTGTCTTCACGGTGGTAACTGAGTAGAAAAACAGCAGTGTTTTGATAGGCACTGTGCTAGGAGCCCCCTTGTCGGAAGAGACATGCTCAGAGGATGTATGGTCTCAGCCGAAGGCAGACACTACCCCTAACCAACCTGGAGGCTCGAAACACTTGCTGGTGGGGGACGTTGCAGGTCAACACTGCCCAGCTCCTCAGGTACATCAGCCCGATGAGTTTGAGGACATTGAAGGCTGGTAGACATGGAGAGAAGAAGGCCCCCATCCTGTAGTGACAGAAGGTCAAGTCAGTCTGTATGTGTTCACATTCAGGGCTACATACCAGAGCCCCATGACGGAGCAAGGGCCCGAGACATTATGATTACAGAAACCTCTGGAGAGACCTCTGGAGAGCTGAGACACAGTCTTCACATCCCAGAGGTATGGCTGGTCCCTGCCAGTGGGCAATGGTAATGTGTTTGTCCCTCTCCTAGTTTAGCAAAGGGAAAGGCCTTCTCTGGAGAGCAGCAGACACAGGAGAACTGGCCTAAACTTCAGACTTTGCAGTTCTGGAGCAAGAATTAAGTTAATAAGTTACTGAGTTTCAGACGGAATCAACACAAGTTAAACACCCCCCCCCACACACACACACACAACTTTTGTTGTCCGTTGCTCTCAGCACCCTTGAGCATGTTAGCTTATTTATGCTTCTGAAATTGTGAAAAGGAAAGATCAGGAGGGCAAATCTAGAAAAGTTAATCAATTTGATTAAAGATATGGTACCAATAAAGTGACCCTCGGTCTAGATGTGGACACTTTTAAGAGCAAAGTAAGTGAACGGGGAGTCACTACTCAGCTACCCCAGGGATACTGGGGCATCTAGTCAAAGTGCAAATGTCAAACACAAAACAAAGCCCAGGGCCTCTGCTTTGGTTCAAAATCAATTTGTATTGGATTTGCAATTGAACTGATCCCTGTGGAATTCAGAGTTAGTGGCCGGAAAATTAAGTGTTTAATAAGTAAGAATGTTTTAAGAACAAATGCTTGCTTTTTTCTGGCAGGCATGCCTCCTGGTGCCTCTGTCGCCTCCTTTCTCACTGCATCCAGGACTGCAGTGACTTGATGGGGTTGCAGGAAAGATTAACTCAGCGTGCCGGGGACCTAGCACACATTAAATAAATAGCGCGCATGACTTCAAACACCAGATTTACACTATGGGGTTCCCTATGTGTTCTGTGACTGACGGAGGAGGTTATATTTTCTGAATGTAAGGAATAGCCAAGCTTCCTCTTTTTGTTTGACTGATGGTACTTGGACCTACAGTGTCATTTGTGGTCCCATTGGTATAGCTGGAGCGCTCTCTCTCTCTCTCTCCCCCCCCCCCCCCCCCCTTCTTCTCCCTCTCCACACTGACTTCCCAGGTCTGTGCAAACCCCCTCTAATAAACTCCTAAGCGGGTCTGTGGTATGTTCTGTGTTCCCTTCTCACTCACACACTACTGAGGAGCGAATAACAAGATGATCCTAGGTAGTACCCTGGTGCCCCTAGGAACAGGACCTACTTGGTTGGAGGTGTCCCAGGCTAAGAGGTTTGCCAGGGACTTGGTCACCTGCTAGGATATGCCAGCTATCCAGAAAAATAGCCCTCCATCTGGCCCTCATGTCTACACAAAAGAAATGATGGGAAATGCCCAACTGGGGCTTGGCTCTGAGTGTCCCACACAGTCCCTGACACCTTCCTGATGAGAAGTCCCTCTTCCTGGGTTACTCCCCTCCCAGCTGAGGGACTCCACCACTTCCTCTGCAGGCATTTTGGGGGGGTGCGACCAGAAGTGGTTTAAAAAGGAACCACCCTCTCTGTTATTCTTTCCTGTAAACCCTCAGAAAGTCACCGATAAAATGACCATACCTGAGAAATAGTCCCCTTGTCAATATTCTTTCCTGATGGTGATTGTGGCTGTGTGAGTTCATAGGTCCACCTGAACTCACAATGTTCATTGGAGTTCAAGGCTCATTGGAACCTTAGCCCAGATGACAGACATAAGTGAAGCTGGGAAGCAGCTTTGAGACCTACCAAATCATGCCTTGATTGTAGACTAGGTGCAGCACATTCTCCGCAATCTTGAATTCCCCGTATTCAGGCTGGTAGAGAAAAACATTGGCATTAAAAACAAAGCCACTAAGTCCCTTGTACACAGCCGCTCTCTGTGGCCACTTGGACAGACTGCTCTGCTCTTATAGATACTTAGAGCAAACGGGGATATGTAAAGCAGGGGCAAGAGCTAGTCTTGCATGCCCCCTCCTCTTCCTTCGTGACCCCCCTTGAGCTATCTCTGCCCACTTGGGCCATGCTCATATGTAGCAGTTTCCTTGGATGGAAGCATTCCCTCCTGGAAGGAGGAGGGTCAGGGGACTTAGGAAAGCCAAGACTTCGAGGCTCAGGAAATGTCCCCGGCTCAGGAGGCCCTCCCGTAGGTTATACAAGCAGTTACCAAGGAGACCAAAGATTGTCATCACCTGTGCTGGCATGGGAAATTTGGTGAAGTAGCTGCCTGAATCACCCATGGGCCTCTAGGTAACCCTTCACCCATGTCCTTGCAAGTAGCCCCAAGAAGCTCACAGGTTCACTAAGCTAGACTTGAATGGACTCACTTCTTGTGTCTATTGGAGACGAGCAGAAGCAGACTCCCCAGAAAACATCATGCAACACAAGCCTGACTAATTCTTAAGCAGGCCAACAGCCAGAAGGCGGATTTAGTTCTAGAACCGTCCCCAAGCACACAGCATTCCACTTACAAACTTGCTTTCCAGGTCCCAACACCAATAGTCACTTAGGTAGCGCACGAAAAGTCCTCGGAAGAAGTCGATGAGGAGGATGCTGGCCACCGTGAAGAGCATGTCAATCACCGACAGCTTCAGCATCTCCTGCAATACAGCGGGTCCTGCTGCCACCATGCCCCACCCCCCATAGTCCTCCCTTTCTCTGTCTTCTCCACAATCCCCCTTGGTCCACCCTGTCTCTGTCCCTTTCCTGGAGCCAGAGTCAGGGGCCATCTGATATATTCCCTTCACATCTCTATACAGAACAGGGGCAGAGGGAGGGGCTCCTACCACATCATGGCTGTTTGGAGGGTATCTGTTACTTTGACTTTGGGTCCCAAGGCAAAGCCACCGTGCTACCCACACAAAACTTAGGAAGACCCTGAGGTCTGAGGTTCTGAAAAACAAGTTCTTAACCATGTGTGCCTCAGTTTCCCCATCTGTGCCTATGAGGCTGAGGTCAGCATCTTACAAGGACTTTGCTTAGTTACTATGATTAATTCTGAGACCTGTAACCTAAGACAATAAAACTTCGCCGGATGGTTTTCTATGAAAAAGGAACAGTGATGCACCCGAAAGTTGTCAGGTGAGGTGTCAGAGGGACTTCCCGAGGGGCAGAGGCAAACACCTGGCCAACATATGTCTCCCAGCACTGTCCTTGGGGGCTCGGCACATAGGGCACCGTCTTGTTGGCCTTTGTGTGGGGCATGATGGTAGTCAGAATGCTTGTCTCTTCCAAGACCCACGTGCTGGCGTTTCTCCTGAGCTCCACTCCTTCCCCGGGTGTGGGCCACTGCCCTTCTTCAGGCACCGTTCTGGTGGCATAGAAGGTGGAAGGATCTGCCCAGTGGCTTGTGATGTTCTTGGTAGCAGCTTCCTGTTGAGACAGGAAGGAGAGAAGGAAGGAAGAAATAAAGGACGTTTTCACGTTTGCAAACAAGAATTCAGCTAGGAGTGACTGTTCTCTTTCCCTCCATCTCTCCTTCTCCTTATTCCCCCAGCTCTTTCTCCACCTCAAGTCTCCTTTTCTCTCACTCCTTGTTCCTCTCTTCTTTCTTTCCTTCCCTTTTACTGTTTGACTGGAAGTGACCACACCCACAAGACTCCCGCTGAAATACACAGTGTCCACTGTTCCCTAATGAGGATCAGAAATGGTTCTAGGTGATGCATTCCTCTCTTCTTAACCTCAAGGGGATTTTAGATTAAGTCTGTAAGGATTCAGGGAGACTAATGCTCCAGACGGAATGTTAATAAGTGGCAGGTAAGGACCAAGGTCTCTGTGACTTCAAATTCCCGGCTCTCCATAGTCTCTTTGGTCCATATTTCCTGAAATTTATGATGTATTTTGTGTGAATGACCCTCCCTGCCTCTCCTCCCATTTCCCTCCTGCTCAGGGTGTCGTGGAAAGCTGAGCAGGTTGAAATAGACAGTAAAGCCGCTCTGTGGGACTGGAACTGGAGCATTCTCTGAACTGTTTGCTATGGCGTCCATTTTCCATGTGCCTGTGGCCTGCTCATCTTTCTGGGGGTTTCTGAGAGAGCTGTTGACAGTCTTTCCCGATGGAGGGAAACATGGTGTCAACAGCCCAGGCTCTCATAACAACACTGTTACTTTTTTTTTTTTTAATCTGGAAAGTGGGTTTTAAATTTTTCTCCACGTCTTAAAAGTGGCATGGTTTGAGATATGCCATATGAGACATAATGTCAGCCGTAAAGAGGACAAAGATGATGAAGATGCTGACATGGGGTGCTGAGGGGGAGAGATGACAAGAGGCTGTCCAGTGTGGACAGCGACGGGGAGGGGGGCCTGTTCGGTCTAGGCCTTGATGTTGGGTGAACATCCAGTGTAGGCAGGTGACTGTCCAGTCTGGGCAGCAGGGGGAGAGGACTCTGCAGTCTGAGCAGTGATGGCAGGGTACACTCTAGGCAGCTAAGATAGGTCCCACCCAGAAGTGACGGTAGGTGTTGTCCCATTCGGACACTCACCTCAATGTTCATACTGTTCACTTTGTCCAGAAGGGCAATGATCAAGCTGTAGAGGTTGCCTAGATACAGAACCAGGACCCTGGAAAAAATCACAAGACCTCTTAGACACAAGATGATCACACACAGGACCAGCAGTCTGGGGCTTCCAGAGAGTTCTAAGTCATTCTGCTCATGATAATACAACAGGGGTTGTGGACGTGGCTTTCTTTCGGTTATCTGGGTGTCATTGAAAAACCACAGATTATAGGGCAGGCATGATTGCTCAGCGGGTACAGGCACTTGTGGCCATGCCTGACCTCTGACTTTGATCTTCAGGAGCCACACAGTAGAAAGAGAAGGTTGAGAGTTGTCCTCTGAGATCCACACACATCACGTGAAATACACACACACACACACACACACACACACACACACACACATGCACACATGCACGTGGGCACACACACCCTCACATGATAGTGTAAAAAACAAAACAAATCACAGACTATGAGAATCGTCCAGCTCCAGCAGGTGTGGATGGGGTTTGGAGTCTGCATCCTCCCCAGGTGATCCCACAGCAGCCAACCCTGGACCAGCCCGTTAGAAACCCTAGTATGGCCGAAAGAATGCGGGTTTTGTGTGTGTGTGGGGGTGATAGAATATCTGGCCCATGCTTTTTTGTCTGTAGGTTTATTGCCTGGCGTCAGTCCACACAGTTCTCAGCAAGTCTGTGTTCCATTCTCCGTTCAAGGGACGGGAGAACAGAAGGGCGGAGTACTGAGAGCTGTTCAGTCCATGAAGCTGGAAGGGTCAGCCTGGCGTGTGTAGATCTCAGCACCCACCCTTGGACAGATAGGCAGGGCTCCACGGCAGCACAAAGGGGCAGTATTCCAGTCACACCATGCAAGCAGCTGCCGGAGAGTGAAATCTGCTTGCTGAAGTCTATGCCAATCAAATCGACACGATGTCTGTTCTCCCAGAGTGGACTGTTTGGGAAACACATCCTGGCATTGCCCACAATGAAGCCTTGGGGCTTATGGGAAGTCTGAAAGAATAAGATGGGCAAGGAAAGTAGCCTCTGTAGATCCTTCGCTGGGTCAGTGATGTGCAAACGTGGAAGCAAATCCAGTGATAGGGAAACAGCTTTATCTGAAGGAGACTATTTCCACATGGAAGCAATGACCCGCACATCTATCCACACCGCCTCTTTCATCCGTATGGGGTTCAGGTGACGCCATATGTAGGTAGAGAGCTTCTTGAGGAGACACCCTTGCAGCTTGCTTTTCCTCGGAAACTATGAAGGGACTCCTTTATGCATCACCCCGGGATGACCTCAGCATTTGCCTTGGCCTGTGTGGGATACAGCCCCGCCCACGGTACATGAGTGCTGATGGAAAAAGAGCCTGCTGACTCCTTGGCAGAGCCTGGGCTTTTGCTAGGGCTCTCACTGCATCTTGGATGAAAGGTATCATGGTTTTTGGTGAGTTAATGGGACTGAAATAATATATCTTGCTCTTATTACCAAAACGATGTCTCGTTTGTCCGGGGTTATGTCTCTCTGTGGCTCTGTTTCTCTGGTTTTGAGTATGAATAACGAGGCCAATCTGTGTAATAGGATTGCTGTTACACCAAATGCAATAATGGAATTGATTGTCCCCAGTGCCCGTGGGTAAGGAAGGAACTGAGGAAGGTACTTCTTATCCGGGCTGCAGAGGTGCAGAGTGGAAAAGAACATGGGAGGGTGAGTGGGCCCGAAGCTTTGTCCCAGGTCTATTCTGTGCTGTGGGTGTTTGGTCAACTCCTTGACTCTCTGGTGATGGTGTTCTGTCTTTATGGCAGTTGGATTTCAGGAGTCGGGGAACTGGAGGCTTCAAGCCAAAAAAATACTTTCACCTATTTCAGTAAATAAAGTGCTGTCAGATAGCCGAGCCCTTTGTTTGCCCTATCAACCGTGGTCATGCAACTTGTAGTTGGGTTGGAGATGGATGCATAGATGGTAGAATCTAAAATATTGGCTGCTATGTCTGTTTCAGAAGGTATTTACTGACTCCTGAGTGGAAGCAATCCTTCTCAGGGTGTTCTGAGGTTTGCGGAGTGTCACGAGGTGTTGCAGGAGATGGTGTGGAAAAGCCAGCGTGGACAGGGACCTCCTATACCATGTTCTCTGCTTACCAATACATCACTCAAGTGGAGGAGGAAGAACACCAAGGAGGAAAAGCAGGCTTTTAGAAAGCCAGCCCTTGCTAGACACGGATGTGGCTCTAACTCTCGAGGAGGCAGTCTTGGAACGTTTGCTTGCACACCCAGTATGTTGCAGCTCAGACAACATCTGCTTTTGACATCTGCCGTGGCGGCCACTGGCTGTCTCTGTACCGTGCATCGCATTCGTACAACTTTTTGCTTGGGTCGTTAATAGCAGAGCACGCCTGGCAAACAATGAGGGTCTATTTTGCCACTCAGAGTCCAACCACAGAGGGAATTCAATAATGAAGAAACCCAGACACACATTCCATCATCTTGTTGCTCCTTTGTGTCTGCTTTTCCTGCCACGTCCCCCCTCTTCCCCTCTGTCCCTCCTCTTCTTTCTCAGCTTCCTCTTCTTCATTACCCATAATTCCAGCTGCGTCACCCACATCATTCTGTTCTCTCCTTCCCTAACTCCTTTTCTTTCATTCCCATTCTCCCCCAGCTTTTCTTGAGCCATGTCCCTAGGGAAAGCTTTATGCTAAGCGCGGAAGAAAAGAAGCATGCCGTAACTCGGCAGGAATCCAGTCCCTCTGTGGGTGGATGATGGCTGAGCCGCCTTGGGGCTCTTCCGGCCAGGATGCTATACCTTGCTAACTGGAAGCGCAGCGTCGTCCGGGGGTGGTACATCTCTAAGGCAGCAATAAGGTCAAAGGCAGATGGTGCTAGCATGGTGACGAGGGAGACCACCACACTCACCTGCAGAGAGAGAATATCTTTCTCAAGCCCCAATTCCCTCAACCACAGCAGGTTTTCCATGCCATGTGGCCACCTACCATTCACAGGGACACCGAGCTCCTGTTTAGAAACCTCCCCAGATCTGAGTTTGTTCCTTTCTGGAATGCGCTTTTAAGGTCATGAGGATGCTTTTGCATGCTGCCTGGGCTTCGGTTGCATTTCTGTCACATGTACCAATCACTAATTCTCTGTATTTATACCTCCCTGACCTTGGGTGGAGGATGGAAATAATTGCGAACATTATGATCAGAAAGGGGAAGGCAGAGACGTAATTGAATATCCCTCTGTACACGGGGGATTAATTATCTGGAGAACCATGCCTGGCTCTTGTTTGTCTGGGCTGATGGCAAAAGAAAGGCGAATTTGAGCTGGTCCACAAGACGTTTGAGCTAACTTAAGAAGTAATTTCTGAGCGGATGTTTTTTAAAAATTTGTCACTTTATAAATGTGCAAATAGGTACAAATTTACTTAACCCATATAACTGGTATAAAATACAACGAGGCATGGGAAAGGCTACCTGGTGTAATCTCAGGTTCTAAGAAATGATTGCACATGGGTGAACACACATGGAACATGCACAGGACAGATGAATGCCTTCTAACTGCTTTTAAAGTGGATACTAGTTATTTTTTTTTTTTATCAGAGTAATCCAAAAGATGGTTTGGAGTTATTTTTGTTTTTCAAATCTTGGTGGTAAATTGAGCCAAATGTTCAGGACAACAGTCACAACAAATATTAGAAATTCTGAAATTCTCCCTAACCTCCTGCTTGGTAGTTGTTTTCGTATGGAGATCTTCACACAATTGGGGGTGGGTTGTTCAATACCCCAAAACAGTTCGTGTGGCTGGTTCTGGAAACTACCCAAGTGTCGGATGAGACAGCTAGAGGGATCTGAGGCGCACACTGTGGGTCGGTGTGGACCCTGACGCAGGTCTGTGGGCAGAGCCTATGCCTAGAGAGTGGATGTCAAGAAATAGAAGTGAGCAGGGCAGAGCCGAACCATGAGGGACAGTATGAGCACCCGGAGGAGTTCCTGAATGAAGATCTTCCTAGTTATTTAACTAGACTTGACGCTGCTGGAGCTGAAGGCCCTGGTCCGAACTCTAGAACTAGCAGGCTACCGTCATTTCTAGAGATATTTCGGTCTGATTCACTAAAGAAGCAGAGAGGAGGAGGAATTTTGTCATATACCCCCTTGAAGCGCAACCTGCTAATATAATTGCGGGTCACCGGGTACCTCGTTCTTTTCCCAAAGCGTCAGCTCCTTCTTCGACTGTTCCAGCTTCTGGGACCGGTCCACCACAAAGTAGATGAGATAGATGCTCCCAGCCAGCGAGAGGAGCACCAGGATGTTGGCGATGATTCTCAGGCAGACAGTCACTGCCCTGAAGGGAAAAGCAGCACAGGATGCAGACGGTAGGACTTCAGGATGGGAGTCTTCCCCCTGCTTCCCCAAGCTGCTTCTCTGCTTCCTCTACCTGCACTTTCCTGAGAGATCAACAGAGCTATAAATTCGGCAAGCCCGCCGCCTGGAACTTTTAAGATATCATCCAATGTTTGTTTTAGGATCCAAGTATGTGGGTTTTGGTTCGAGGTTTGTCGCTTATAATAGAAGTCCTTCAGGGATGGGGAGGTGGCTCTGCTATAAAGTGCCCGTCATGGAAACATGAGGAGCTGAGTTCAGATTCTGAGAGCCAGGCAGATCCCGGAAGCTCATTGGCCAGCAAGCCTGTGCAAATGAGCTTCAGGCCTCAAACCATAAAGGTAGATCGGACTGAGGAAAGACACATGCAATGTACTTCTGGCATTCACGCATACACATGTGTATTCATACCTGCTCTAACCTATATACACATACACACGCCACTCACATATACAAATGGTAATGCCCTCTTTCTCTGCTTCTGTCCTGGTCCCCAAGTACCTACTGCATCTCTGCCTTCCTCTGAACAAATGGATGAGGACCAGGGCTTGAGAAAACTGGTCCCTCCGTGGTTCCCCAGGAATGAGTTGTTGAGTAAGACCTCTTGGACCTAGAATGAGCTTAAAGGTGGATGTCATTTTCAAATTCCCGGGGTCATTTAAATCACTGGATTGGATGTGAAGAAGACATAGACCCTGCATCCTATTGACAGGGATGCTAATCCAAACTGAGGTCTGTGCTTTCAGAGACTGTAGACGACTCTGGTGGGCTTGTTCTCTGGCCTCTGAGAGGTTTGATGGGGCTCATCCTGCCATTTCACTGGAGAGGAAGCGTAGGTCCCAAAGATTGTGGGTCAGCCATCTGGGTCACTGGGGTTTATGCCAGGGAGGGCTAGAAGTCACCTCTTCTAGCTGCTTGTATACAGCTCCTTCTGACTCCCCTGCTCCCATCATACCCAGTAGCCAGCAACTACATGTGTACCTGAACAGAAGGACTATGCAATCAGCAAGGACACAAGGCAGGTGGACATGTCTGTCCTAATGAGGATAGGGCCATCACCCCTTCATGGCAGCACCCTTCCATTCCACTGGGTCTTAGGACAAACCTGGCCCCCAGGAGGCCATCTCGGAAGGCTATGGTTGTGAACGGACTGCTCCTTGTATCTTAGGAACTCAGAAAATTGTTTCTAAATAAAATTAATCCTAACAGTATTCACGTGTCTTCCTTCATTTGGCCGACTAGAAACTGTCACTGAAAATAATTGTTTTGTTAGGTGAGTGGAAGAATAGGACGCTGGTCAATGTCAGACCCTGTCCAGGCGCAGCGGGTGCGGAAGGAGAAAGCACTCTTAAAGACTACGATGGGAAAGGAAGGAGCTTCCCACAGGTCCTGTTACTAAGGAGACTGACAATAAGAGGAAGGAGGAGCCTAACAATTGTGAAAATAAGATACCGATAACTTGATAACTTTTTGAACCAAATGAGGCAAAAAATTAATGAATGGGTTTATTAATACTTACATGTTTTTGTGTTTTTTCTTTTCTTGTTCTTCCAGTATGGCCTCCTGGAAGGAAAAACACACACAGCATTGGAAACTTAGCCTCATAACCAATTACAACCACAAGGAATAATGTATCCAACTGGGCACAACCTGTAATACCAGTCCTTAGGAGGATCCACTTCAGGTGTCTGGCTACACGGTAAGTGTGAAGCCAGCCTGGGTCCAAAAGCAAAAAGAAAAATGAAAGCCACATCAACAAAACCAATTCACCCCCAAACACTGATCTATTATCTTAATTCTTATTTTCAGTGTCTATGACTTTGGTCTATAAGTTTCTATTGACAGCAATGAATTAAATATCAATTATCTAATGATCAATTAAGCAAAAAATAAAGGAGATTGGGAAGAAAGAGTGGAGAGAAAAGGCTGTGATACTTTGGATCATAGAAATATTTTCCACTCAGAACGAGGTTTCCTTTGGTTGTCTATGACATTCAGCTGTCCCAAATCTCTGACTGATATCAATCACACTGATTTCTAAGTTAAAGATAAAATCTTACATACATAATGTAGTAGTATTTATTAATTTATAGGCTTTAAGACTCCATCATGTAAGCTGGGCCGTGGTGGCACATGCCTTTAATCCCAGCACTTGGGAGGCAGAAGCAGGCAGATCTCTGTGGGTTTGAGGCCAGTCTGGTCTATAAGAGCTAGTTCCAGGACAGGCTCCAAAACTATAGTAAAATCCTGTCTTGAAAAACCAAAAGGAAGAAGAAGAAGAAGAAGAAGAAGAAGAAGAAGAAGAAGAAGAAGAAGAAGAAGAAGAAGAAGAAGAAGAAGAAGAAGAAGAAGAAGAAGAAGAAAAAGAAGAAGAAGAAAAAGAAGAAGAAGAAGAGGAAGAAGAAGAAGAAGAAGAAGAAAAAGAAGAAGAAAAAGAAGAAGAAGAAGAGGAAGAAGAGGAAGAAGAAGACATAATGTAAATTATAAAAAATACACAAATCAAAATTTTAAGACAAAACAATATATAGAAATATTAAGAGTTATTTTGAGCTTTCCTTCTTACATCCTATAGGCTCATGTGGCACTTTTCCAGGTTATGTTGACCTCCCTGGATCTGCTGCCCTGGGCTGGGAGGAAAGGGAGCAGCTGGTTTGGCCAGCAGGGGGCGCAGACTGTCTTGCAGTCTTTCCACTCACCCTAATGCTGTTCACAATGGCGGCTGTTTTGCTCTCTGCGGCCTCTGGGTTCCCAATGAGGTAATCCCAGGCACAAAATACCCTCCAGCAGAAGGTGTAATTTTCATTGGAAGCACTGGCCAGGCTGGTGCGCGAGTTCTTAGCCATTCTGCAAGAGAGGCCCCAGTCAGTCACAGGAGTGGGTCTCGGAGCCGGGGATCACTCTCTCCAGGGTGCCACAACCGGATGTGGGGCAAAACTGTCCTCTGACACAGGTCCTCAATCCCTGCTTGATGAGCAGAGCACTGGCTGCGTTTTAACCACACTTGGACCCTCAGCCCATCCTTTTCCCAGTATGAAATGGCATGGATAATTATCTGATAGGCAGTCCCACCAGCACAGTGGTGGCCAGCAGTCATTGATGTACACTTGTCCCAGGACTCCTCATGTCTGCAACTGTGATGGTAAAGTTGTCACCATCCCTCTGAGATCAAGTCACGTTCCTGTAGCTTCTGCCTACAGTAACTCCTCCCCATGGGATCCCTAAGAACTGCTGAGTCCCTCCTGCCCAGGGTATTCCTTAGATATTCAAAGACAGGAGGTCCCTCTCTCTGCCTTTTAGGCCATTTCTCCAGTAACAAGCATTGGCTTTCTTCCCTGGCTACTTTCTTGCTCTCACATCGTCTCTGAGTTGCTTTTAACGAGTAATACCTAGTAAAGGATTGAAATCGTTCTGGTGAGATCTTCAGGCCACCAGAAGGTAAGTTGAGAGCCTTTAGTCACTTGAAATGCCCTTGCAAGTCTCTCTCTCTCTCCCTTAGCTCTACACAGGATGCTAACCTGGAAGGGAGCCTGGTAGCCTAGTACTTTTCCGAGCCAGTGCATGCAGAGAGGAAAACTGAGTTGCCACAGGGCTCTGGGTGAAGCTGGTGGAGCTCACCGTGGGGGCATTGCAGGAGTTAAGTCACTTTGTTAGAGGTCCCTTTATATGGTGACCGCCTCTCAGTGATGACTAGGAGGCACCAATGGCATGATCCATCACCTGGTCACAGGTAAACATCCGATCAAAGAGAGCTCTTTGCTCTCTAGCCTCCTGGATGTCATTGATCATATCTTTAGCCACCTAGATGTCATTGATTGAATCTTATTAGCTTAGCATTTTCTAAAATCACACACAGCACATAGATCGCTAAGTTTGTCTCTCCAAACCCTTCACAGAGCCTTGAACAAAGTATTCAGTGTCCAGGAAGTGCTGGTTAACATTAGAACCACTCTCAAGCCTTGGCCTCTTCCTCTATAAAATGGCTAGGGACTCATGACGTTAACAGGGTTATTGACAGGACAGAGTGAGATCACACATGTTCTAACCGGACTCCAGACACGGCTTGGAGAAATCGACAGTCATACTTTTTTAAGAGGATGATGAAGCTGTAGGCAAACACTGCCATCCCCACCAGGAAATATGCCAAGGGCAGGCGGTAGCCGGCTCTCCCAATCCTCCTCTCTCTCCCATAGTACCCGTAGAACAGGACAGAGTACTGAAGGTAGCCCTGCAAAGAGAGCCAAGAGTTGTCTCTGATTCCCAGATCCCAGAACTGTAGCCCTTTCGGCTCTCCTGCAAGGCCTGGGTGTAGCCAACGTTAGCCTTACCCCCAGGGACCAGACAGTGTCCAAATCCTGCGCAGACATGACCTGCTCCTGGGGGATGCTCTTGCTGGCTGTGCTTCCAAAGGGCTGGCCTGCGATCAACTGGTAAAAGAGGAAGGGTTAAGATGCTCTTCTAGGCTAGGGGATTGGAAGAAAGGAATGGTGCATCCCCATGTGTCCGTGCAGTTGCCATGAACTGTGTTGTTATTGTGTAAACCCATGTGAAAGAACTGGAAGTAACTTCTGTGGCTACATTGTTGAGGTCCCCAGACCTCTTATGCCCCAAAGAAACCAACAGTTCTGTATATAAAGAAGGAGTTTAGATGGAATACCGGGCAGGCAAGCCAGCATCCAGGCCAACTATAGTCCGTCACCTCTTCTTGTATGACCAGAGAGATATGGCTATGAATGTTTCTTTTCTTTTTTACAACATTAAGTGGTTGGGGAAAATAATAATCAAAAGAAAAAACATGATATGAAATTCAGATTTCAGCCACCCTCCCTGGTCCCTGCTACGCTCAAACCTTCTTTTGTGATACATGGCAGATCTAAAGGGCCATGACAAAGCCCAATGCATTCACTATGTCCTTTGGCAGAAAGCTTGCCACGTCCTTCCTAGGCTTCTATGATGACAGCGAGGGCAGCAGGTTGCAGCACCTGCCTCGCTTTCAGGCCTTGCACCTCCTGGCTCCCGGAACAACTCTTACCTCGGGAATGACAACGAAAGCACCCGTCATCACTGTGAGCACTATGTTAATTCCGAATAACCACCTCAGGAAGATGAAGTAGGAGGCTACACCAGATCCGAAGTGACCTGCGGGAAGGCAACACGAGAGTGGCTCTGTTCAACTCTCCCAGCACAGAAAGCCTGCCTCCAGCATCGTCCTTCACCTTCACCAGCAGCAGCACACACAGCAAGAGTGCTGTTACATTGCATTTTATGACGATGTGATCAAGATGCTGAGCAACACACCAAGCAGATTTGTGGAATTGCATTAGACTTGGAAACTGATTTTTGGGAATGTCTACAACTTTAAATGAATGTTCCCCCGTCTCTTCAACAGAATATCATCAGCTCGGCTCCAGCTTCACGCTCGTCTTCATTTTGGGACATTTTAAAGTTTGTTGATTCCTCTATGCATGTGGGCCAGGAGGAGAAGGAGATTGGGGTATGATTTATTTATTTTTAGCCTGGATTTTCTAGACGCTTACAGTGTTCTATAAAAACATGTATTTTCATGTTTCTATCTGGGAGTCACCATCTTCTCTCAGAGTTTTTCACAGAGTTTGCTGTCTGACTGACTGAACGAACTAGGAATGAACATGCGGCCATGTCTGAGCATGGAAACGCAGCCTGTGTCCTTTTCCATCCTGGGAGATGGTGAAGGTACCAGGTCTTCCAACTCTGAGTCCTACTTGAGCTGGGCCTCTAGCTGTACAAGTGCCCTGGTTGACTCTACGCTGTAAGGGCCAAGACCCACCGGATGCTTTAGGCTGTGTGCTGGCCAAGGCTGTACATCCCCCCTCCACGCCTCCAGCAGATACTTACTCTCGATTTTCTTTATCCTCATTTCCCAGGGGATGAAGATGACCACAAAGTTGCAGGCCAAACGGGCGAATTTCCTCCAGAGCTACACAGGAGAGGCCGTGGTTAAGAATCCTCTCATTTGTAACCTTGGTAATGGGGTTCTGGGTAGAGGAAAGGATCCCATACACACCCACACAACCCTTAATTATGGCTTCTCAAGTCATTAGCATCTCCAAGACCAAAGCGGCTCCCTATTTTCCCTGTGTCCTGACCAGACAGTATATAACAGTTTGCACTCTGTGCTATGGGTTCCGCATTTCTTTCTGGAGACAGACTCTCATGAATCCCAGGTTGGCTTCAAATTCACAATATACCTAAGTATAACCTTGAACTTTGATCCTTCTGTCTCTACCTCACAAGTGTGAGGCCCTCACTACATCCAGTTACTGTAATGCTAATTGACATCAGGGCTTTTCACAGGCTAGGCAACCACGCTATTAATTGAGCTACACCCCAGCCCTAAGACTCTTTTGGGTCAAAGTCTGCCTTATTCATTGGTTGAGGATGAGGAAAGGGGAAATCATGTGAAGAATGTCATCTCAAGATATTCATTTGACCCAGCCATAGACCCCTAGGAGCTCTGGGAGTGGAGCCTATAAATCTGTTTGATTCACCAGCTCCCCAGATGATTCTATCTGTACCCCGGCTAAATACCAAAAGTCTAGAATCTTCCCTGAAAATGAGCTCCACCCCAGATTCATCTTGCATCCTACAAGCTAGTTTCTGGCCTTTGTCCTGGCCAAAGCTGCCAAGAATAAGCTTGGGAATTTTGTCTTGCGGACTTATACAATTGCCAAGAGTATGAAATCATTACATTCTCAAAGGAGAACAATGAAGGATGTGGCCTATGCCAGTTCTGCTCTCCAGCAAAATTGACAGGTTGAGCATTCTAACACACAAACAGCCCGGGTTTGTGTTGGAAGCAAATGATATCATTGCACAAGGAAGAGCCACAAATGTAATTACCGCATTCCCAACTGTAAGGCAGCACACGGTCCTAATACAGACTCACAGGATAATGTCATTCTGGAAGCATCTGCTAAGGCCAGACGGCTGCGTGTACATGGAAATCTGAGTTTTATCAGAAGTTGGAATTGTCTTTAGCTCATGATTTGAGAGCCAAGTCAAAGTAGACACTGCTCCCACGAGCGGTCACACCGGCTGCATATGAGCAGTCAGGAAGAGGTAGCCCTGTCTCTGGATTTTGCTTATTAGGGTCACTGGTCTTTCTTGCAATTTTCTTATGTCTGCCTGGCATCATCTTCATTTTGCATACCTGCCTCATATCTAGAGACCAGAAATACAACAAACTTTCTGACCCCTCCTGCCCCTATGGTCTCCAGAGGCAGGGCTGCTCAAGCATCCTTCAGCAAAGGCCTGGACTTACTAAACATCGGGTATCTGCACTGGTTTAAAGTCCTAACACCAAAGAAGCACAGGGCAGAAGCCAGAGCTTTGGCTCTAGTTCTCCCTGTACATCTGTCTCATCATGAGCTCCGGGAAGTTCTTTTCTTTTCTTGGGCAGCCATTGGCTCATTTGTACAAGGAGCAGTAGAGGTCGGTGAGTGGCACCTAGCCCTTTTTCTTTTTAACTGTCTGAAGATTTCAATTATATAATGATATAGCAAATATAGAGAAGAAGCAAGATCAACTTATATGTATGGGGTTGAGTCAGGAAGGGTCGTAGACAGTTCTTACAAAAATGAACCAGGCTTACCCATATTATACAGCTGATAACTGGCTAAGATCCAGGCTTGGCAGAGTTCAAACTTGCAGTCTTGTCCCCTATTCTGCAGTTATTAATGCTGGGTGCTCCTAGCCTATGTGTGGTGACTCGGACAACAGTGCTTCTTGCTGTGGGACAATGCTTTGGTATACTGTAAAGATTTGTCACTCATATTAGCTTAATTAAATGCTGATTGGCCAGTAGCCAGGCAGGAAGTATAGGTGGGGCAACCAGATCAGGAGAATTCTGGGAAGAGGAAAGACAGAGAATCTGTCATAAGCTAGGTGCAGAGGAAGCAAGATGAGAATGCCTTATTGAGAAAAAGTACCAAGTGATGTGGCTAAACTCAGACAAGACTTATGGGTTAATTTAAGTTGTAGGAGCTAGTTAATAATAAGCCTGAGCTAATAGGCCAAACAGTTTGCAATTAATATAAGTCTCTGTGTGTTTCTTTGGGACTGAACAGCTGTGGGACCAGGTGGGACAAAAACTTCTGGGTTCTGGAGACAGTAGCAAATGAGGCCGGCTGTGCCTCATGTGGGCTCTTTACCTCTGCTCCCGCTGCTTGGTAGCCTCGCGTCCTAGTCAACCTCCCTTCAAACTTCAGCACAATCTCTTTTGCTCGTCTGAGAGAAGAAAAACATAGAAGTTACCACAACTTTCCCACGTTCACCAGCTTTCAAAATATGTGAAGGCAGAGCAGGAGAAAAAAAAAACACCAACTGATACAGGAGTAGAATTACAATATTTCATTTTCTGACTTTGCTAACAAGAAAATGCCTTCTAAACTATTTTAAGGGTTTGGAGAAGGTCGGAGAAGCTTATTGCTCTTTCCAAAGACCTGAGTTCTGTACCCAGAACTTATGTGGTTGTTTATAGCCACTTACCATTCCAGTTCCAGGGGGTTGGATGCCCTCTTTGACTCCTAAGACACCTGTACACACATCATGGTATACATAAAATCATGCAGGTGTGCTTGAGCACACATGTATGCATGCATACACACACACACACACACACACACACACACACACACACACACACACACAAATCTCACAACTGTCATAACATTTTTGTGGATGAACTAATTGGAAATAGTGAATTCACACCAGTTAGTTATGATTGAATTTCTCCAAGTGTTTCTCAGCTGGTATCTGACTGGGGATCATAGACTTTGGGTATCCCTAGAGTGCCCAATATACCTCAGTTCCTCCACTTGACAGCTTGCCTCTCTTCCAGGTGTTTCTTTTTATTGCGTTTCTTGAGATTTTTTTTTATGTCTATGAGTGTTTTTCTGCATGTATGTGTGCGTTCCCCATGAGTGTAGTACCAGTGGAGGCCAGGGAGCTAGAATCCCTGGGACTGAAGTTATAGACCATTGCAAGGGGCTATTGTATGTCCTGGGAATTGACCCCAGTTCTCAGTAAAACCACCATCTCTCCAGCCCCTTTTAGTCACTTTTTAGTAGTGAAAGCCATACTTTACTTCAAGAAGCCTGCTTCAAGAAAGGGACACTGTCAAGATAATGAGTGTAGCAATGTTGTGTTTACACGGCCATGAACCTGACCCAGCTTTGACAAATGACTTACTGATCACTATATTGAATCAATCAGAGATTTCCACTTAAACATATCAGCCTTTTTGTTTTTTCTTCAAGACAGGGTTTCTCTGTGTAGCCCTGGCTATCCCGGAACTCATTCTGTAGACCAAGCTGGCCTCAAACACAGAGATCCACCTGCCTCTGCCTCCCCAGTGCTGGGATTAAAGGCGTGTGTCACCACACCTGAAAAATTCTTGATTCTTAAAAATGGACAGAATTTGGAATTTGGAAAATTTTATTTAGTCAAAAAAAATGCTCTCTTTACAGGAATGAAAACATGAGTTTAGTTTCCTAAATCCACATAAAAATCCAGGTGTGATAGTGACCACTTGGAATTTCAGTACTGGAAACAGGCAAGCCAACCTAGTCTGTTTGGTGAGGCTGATTTTATACAAGTGAGACACTTGTCTCATAAGATAATGGTGAGTCTTGAGGCATGGCACCAGAGGCTGTAGCTTCCACAGTATGTACACAGATAAGTACCTGCTCTCTCTCCCTCCCTCCCTCTCTCTTCCTCCTTCCCTCCCCACCTCTCTCTCTCTCTCTCTCTCTCTCTTTCACACACACACACACACACACACACACACACACACACACACACAAGTATGCACATGTATATGCACACAGTAGGCTGAATTCATTGCAATAGTTATGCTTAAAATAATAACTGAATGAATAACAGGGTTGGATCATGAGTGTTAGTATGCTAGTATCATGAGCTGGGCTGATGTCAGAGGCTCTTAGAGAAGCACACTGTTCAAATAACCTAATGTTATATCACCCCATGGCAGAGATACTCAAGCACACCCAAAGACCAGCAACATCAGACACAGACCACTGAGGAGTTACACTCAGTGTTCAAGAGCTCAGTGATTGAGAGCTCAGTACTCTCAGTCAGTTAGTTCGTGGGTGTGACAGGTTTATTTAATAGGACATTCCTGTGGGTGCTTCCCCAAACTGTCCTAATAACACCCACTGGATACAAATCCTTTGGGAGCACAAGGGGCAAGTCAGTTTCTGTTTCCACAAACAAGGTGACTTCCCCAAATCGTTACTTCACCAAATCCTGCAATTTAGACTTCCTTCTCACTAATCGCAATACCTTCAATTATACTTTGTTTTTGTTGAGTTTGGATTTCACGCATGGCTCAGGCTGGCCTTGAACTTGCTATACAGCTAAGGATGACCTTGAATTTTCTCTGCCTCCTGTCTTCAGGTGGAATAATGCCCTCATTATTGTAGCCTACCACACTGGCTCTACTGTGATCAAAACAACAGGTACAGAAATAACGAAAGTTGATGCCCTAGCCAATACTATGACCATCACATTAGGGACCTCTTTCAAACACGCAAACAGCACGCATGCAAAAAATACTGCAAAAGTCCAAACAGCAAAGAATGTCCTCGTCTTATTTGTAATTTTGTTTCTTGCATGTATTTTTTTTGCACTCTTGTTTTGGGTCAAGGACAGTGGAATGCAGACGTGCATCAAACGGTTGTCCTTGAAGGGCTCCCTTCTCAGTAAAGATGAGCCAGCGATGAAGAAGAGGGCGCCACAGCTCTGTGGAGGGACCAAAGAGAGCACAGCACACAACACAGGCCCAGTTACGGGAAGCAAGTGTGCGCTGCGTCTTCGCGGACACTGAGCTTTTCACAGGTGTTAAGGGTCCCTCCTTGATGATTCCTAAGCCGTCAGGGTTCGGGGCCTTCTGCACCCTCCACAGGCACTGGGCTAAGCCTCAGTCCTCAGTGGTACTTCAGTAGCTTTTCAAGGTGAAGGGCAAGAGATGCGGGTCACAGGGGAGCCTGGCTGTCAGCCTGAGGGGCGGCCTGTGGCTGACATTGTCGGCAGCTCTGGTGCGTCAGGCAGCATGACTGAATTCACCAGCCACCCAGGTCTGTGAGTTATTCCTGAAGTTATCTGAAAGGATGGTAAGCATCTGTTCTGTTCTGGTCTCAATATTTAAAATTGGTTAAATCTGGGCTGGGGAGATGCTTCAAGGGAGTGAATTGCTTTTACTTAGGCTTACTTAGGGTTTTTTGTTTGTTTGTTTTTTGTTTTCTTTTTTTTTGTCTTGTTTTGTTTTGTTTTTCAAGACAGGGTTTCTCTGGGCAGCTTTGGAGCCTGTCCTGGCACTTGCTCTGTAAATGAGGCTGGCCTCGAACTCACAGAGATCCACCTGCCTCTGCCTCCCTCGTGCTGGGATTAAGGGCGTGTGCCACATCTAATCGGCTTTCGTTAGGGATTTTATTGCTATGAAGAGACACCATGACCATGATAACTCTTGTAAAGAAGACATTTAATTGGGGTGACTGACTTAACACTTTCTGAGGTTCAGTCCATTATCGTTACGGGGGTGAGAATGGCAGCATGCAGGCAGATGTGGGGCTGGAGCTGAGAGTTCCCCAACTTGCAGACAACAGGAAGTCAACTGACAGTTGCACTAAGGGAGCTTAAGAAAAAAAAAAAAAAAAAAAAAAAAAAAAAGACCTCAAAGCCCGCCCCCACAGTGACGTACTTCCTCCAGCAAGGCCACGCCTCCTAGCAGTGCCACTCCCTTTGGGGGAACTTTCAGATCACCACAATGCTTACCACGTTAGCACGAGAAAAACTTAAGTTGGACACCCAACCCCGGGTAAAAGCTGGGTCCAGCAGCTTATATTTTTAAGCCTAGCGCCAGGTGGGTGGAAGAGGAGACAGGGTACCTAGAACTCAATGGCTGGTTGATCTAGCTGGAAGAGCGAGCTCCAGGTTGTTGCATGAGAGACTCTATCTCAAAGAATAGGGGGGAAAATGACAGAGGAAGATGGCTGCCGTTCATACCCTGACATTACTAGTGCATACATAGGTCAACTCTTGCTCTCTCTCTCTCTCTCTCACACACACACACACACACATACACACACACACACACACACACACACACACACGTGCGCGCGGTTTAACTTTTCATTACTCAGATGAAAACTACCATTTCTGAATGATGTTTGAAAGTTCTGGTAAAACTTATCCTTCCTTAGTTTTAAGTTAATTACTCTAATGATGATTATATAAGATCTCTAGGGTTCACACACAAGAGACCTGGACTTGGGGTGAGAGCATTTAGCTTATTTATTTTTAAATTTATTTATTTATGTATTTGATATCCCAGCCACAGTTCCCCGCAACTCTGCTCATCCCAGTCCCTCCCCTCAGCCTCCCTCTGTTCTCAACCCCCAATCCACTCTTTCTCAGCTTCTGTTTAGGAAAGGCAGGTCTCCCGTGAGTACCTACAAAGCAAGGTGTATCAAGTTGCAGTAAGACTAAGCACCTCCCCATGTATCAAGACCGGACAAGGCAACTCAGTATGAGGAATAGGGTCCCAAACACTTGAAGAGAGTCAGAGACAGCTCCTGTTCCCACTCTTAGGAGTCCCATAAGAGGACTAAGCTACAGAGCTGTAACATATTTGCAGAGGGCCTAAGTCAGTTCTATACATGTTCCCTGGTTGTCTGTTCAGTCTCCGTGAGCCCCTATGAGCCCAGGTTGATTCTGCGAGTGTTCTTGTGGGGTCCTTGACTCCCCTGGGTCCTATAACCCTTCCTCCTCCTACAGGATTTCACAAACTTGGCCTAATCTTTGGCTGTGGGTCTGTATCTGTTTCCATCAGTTGCTGCATGTTCATTGGGCTAGGCACCAATCTGGTAACGGGAGACAGCCAGATCAGGCTATGTATCTGCTTTTGCTAGGAGTCTAAACTGGGCTCTTCCTCGTAGATTTCAGGGAGAGTCTCTTGTGCCAGGTTTTTACCTGACCCTGGGATGGTCCCCCTTTCCAGTAGTCTCCTTCAGGGCTCTCCCCCCCTCCTCCATTGCTCCACCCCCAACCTGATCTGCTCAACTTCCTGTCCCCACCCACCCTCAGTACTCTCAAGGAATCTCTTCTATTTTGCCCAGAGGGTCTAATTTAAAGCTGACCTCAACACACATGGCAGGAGTTGGGGGGCAGGGATGGGGAGTAGAAGTGGGAGTTGGGGCACAGGGCGAGGGCAGGGGGGAAGGAGGGCTAAGGAAGTGTGTGTGGGTATTTGCTCAGGCTGCTTTCTCAATCATTCTCAATTAGTCTTTCTCATCAGACACGTGGGCATAGGAGGACCCATGCTAGCCTTCCGAGAGTGTAGATGTCTTTAACTAGAGAGGAGTGTTGGTCAGACTGGGAGTCAAGTCCCAGGAAAGGATGATTCGATAGGAAGATGCCCCAGCCTGATAGATAGGAGGTGTGACGGGAAAGGAATGAACACCGGCATCTAGCAAATCACCCCGGAGAGCACAATGTGACCGTGGTTCTGGGTCCACAGGAGGTGGCTAAACAGCGGGTCTAGGGACAGATGCACAGGACATTTATCCTTTAAAAGTAATGTCCACCATCACAGCTCAGTAACATCAGTCGTGAAGACCATGCCGCTAACTCCCCTTATGGGATCTGTGACAATCGCCCCCTTCTTAGGCATGCATATTACATATTCCATACGTATTACATGCACATTGAACACATAACTAACACCCACAGTGCTTAGCGCATCTCATGTTCAGTAAGCTCAAACCTCAGGAGTTCAAACTTGAGTGGACAAAAGGATGAAGCTGAATGAATATTAAAACTGCTTGGGGCCTGGGACGTCATTCAGTGGTTGAGTATGGACGATTAGGTGTGGAGCCTTGGATCCCATCCCTAGGGTCACAGAGATGAGAGGAGGCAGAGGGTAGGGGAGACTGAGTTCATCTCCCACAGTGTCTGGCTCTGCTGCTGTTTTTGACAGCACTCTGAGGGCTTGACTGTTGCCATTTTCAGCAACACTGTTACAAGAGGTAGGAATCATAGCCTACGCCTCTTCAGCTTTAAAGAGAGGACCCTGTACCTAGAGAAATTAGGAAACTTGTCCAATGTCAAACAGGTAGAGAGGGAAAGGGGCAGTGTTTGAATTCAGGGAGGGAAACTGTCCTAAAAGTCTAAGAATCTACATGGGAAGTAGAAAAAGACAAGATCTCCTGAGTAAATTGGGAGCATGGGGACCTTGAGGGAGGATTGAAGGGGAGAGGCTGGGAGGGGAGCAGAGAAAAATGTAGAACTCAATAAAAATCAATAAAAAAGTCTAAGCACTTAACTATGAGGGCGACAGATTCTCTAATAGAATCAAAATATATCCTAATAACCTGGTCGGCCACTGAAGAGACTTCTTTCCCAGGAGAGACAAAAGCGGAAGGTGAAGAGGATGCCTCTTTGATTCTGGCTCTCACCCTGTCTTCTGAGAGTTGAGAAGACAATATGAAAATCTAGTGTTTAGAAAAGAGATTAGAAACTTCAAACACACACACACACACACACACACACACACACACACACACACACCACACATACCACACACACACAGGCACTGTAGCAGCTATGTGATTAGATGGTCCCTTCCAGTATCTTTGGGACTTCTCTGAGTCAGATGCAATATGGTCACGGTATCAGCATCCCTCTTCCCCCAGGTACCATGGGCAGGATGGGATTGTTTATCATAAAGCATATTCACACTTATTAATGATTGCCGTGGAGGCCCTTACCTCAGCGCTCGCAGCTTCTGTCCCATGGTCCAGGGTCTGCAACGGATGTTGGCCATGAGATCTTTCTGGAACTGTATATTCTGGAAGATTTGCTCCGGATCATTGCTGTCCCCCGTTTCATCAGCATTAAAGCTGTCATCCGAGTTACTGAATGGAATCGGGGCATCGTGGAGGAAATCTGATTATAGAATTGCTTCCAGCAAAGAGCATCTTTCTTGGGTATTTTCTGCATCTGACTTTCCTAGGGTCAACTGTATGATGTGTGTGTGTGTGTGTGTGTGTGTGTGTGTGCAGAGACTCAGGAGTCCATAAAAACTCATTTGTGGAACTTCAGTGGTCAGCAAAAAAGAGTGATTTCCAAGGCAAAATAGAGTGATTTTCAAGGCAAGAGGCACCAAAGGAGAGAGGAGAGGAGGGTTTCCCACATTTGAGCCCATGCTAGAGGAGCAACGGTTTTGATAGGGGACGCAGTCTTATTTGTAGGCTCACCCAGGTGACCAGCAAGGTTTGGAGGCAGACTGCCTCCTTCTCCCACAGAGATGTATCACCTAGAGACACCTCTCTGTTCACCTGTGTTCATTTTAAAGCCAAGACAAGGGAGTTAGGTGAGTGGTTTTTGCAAAGAAAGATTGAGTTAAGTGATGCACGGGGCAGACTCCTCGGGACATAGCTACCACGTAGAAGAACACTTTTTCACAGTAACAGGGCCTTCCCCCCTAGTAATATTTAATATGCAACTCAATACTTTTTTAAGTGGAGATGAATAACCTATGGCTTTGGCAAGAGAAAACACTTCCTTTAGCTCTAATTGAGATGTCTTTTATCTGTTTGAAGGAAAAATTTCTCCAGAGTTAGTGGAGGTTCCAGTATTTAACAACAACAACAACAAAAACCCATTCCTAATAAAAAACGAACACATTCCGTTCCCACCCTCTCCCACTTCTAAGTTATCAGAGACCTTTTCCAGGAACACCTGATTTATCTGAGGTGACAGGTGTCTTGTCTGCTCTCTTCTGACACTAGCACTGAGGAAACAGGGACAAGCTGGAAAAAAAAAACCCATGTGTGGGCTTTTGGTGTGAGCCCCACTGGCTGGCAACAAAGTGAGGGCCGAATCAAGAAACAGCAGCTTGCTGCTTCTCCCTCTGGGGGAGCATTGCTGTGCTCGACACCCCAGCTCCCATGTGACCCCAGAGAAGTAAGTTTAGGCATTCATTTCGGAAAAAATCCAGCAGGGCACTTACCCAAGCAGCAGGGAGTCCTGGTAGAGGTAGCACTGACTGGCGTTTCTCCGGATGCTTCTGTAGCGCTGGGATGCCTTTGAAGTTTTCATGAGGCCTGGTTTGCTGCCAGTGGTCCCTGAGGATAGTGAAGGAGCTGGGAGGCTGGGAGCCTGCAGGCAGGGGTCTGTTTCAAATGAGCTTTCCGAAAGGGGCCTGTAGAGCTAATATGCTCTCCTCCCTCAGAAGCAGGAGCAAATGCCTGCCTGCATCTGGTGTCAGGGACAGAAAAGAAGCCAGAAGGCCAGTCAGGGTCATACATATGTAACAGGGAGGTGGGCGTGCCCACATTGATTGGCTGGGATCTGGACAGTAGGAGGCGTGGTCCAGTGGCCTAGGGATGACTTGATTCCTCTCAAGGTCTCTCTACCATCTCCTGTGCCCAGACTGGACTCAAAGACTTGCGAACTCCCCTCCATCTTACTATGACTGACTGTCAAGGAACGCTTAGAGACCATAGACAGCAGGGCGTGGTGTTCTCCTTCTGTGTCTCCAGAAGAGGTTTGGAGACCACAAGCACACTCCTGCCCAGGCACAGACAATAGCACTCTATTCTTCTCCCCCCTCCCCTTACATCCTTTTGTTTAGGTACTGTGAAAGACGTCAAGCTTACAGGCAGGTCACCGTGCCATAAACATCTGGCTGCTTCCGATGTAGATTTATCACTTACATTTTTGCCGTGGTTAGCTCTACCCAAGTTTCCCTTGCCACCGACCATTTGCAAGTGAACTCTAGAAAGAATGACAATTCAGCTTTAAAGACTTCCGTGTTCTAGTAATAAAAACCAAATTACTTTAGTGATAGTTTTACATGGATTAAGCGTGGACGCAACAATATGTACAAGGACCCCATGAAACTGAGTTTGAGAAAAATTAAGACTTCTTTTTTTTAAGGACTGGAAAGATGGCCCAGCAGTTAAAAGAATTTGCTGCTCTTCCAGAAGACCTGAGTTCAGCTCACTAACCACCTGTAACTCCAGCTCCAGGGACCTGATGACCTATTCTGACCTTTGTGGACACCTGCAGGTTCCCCTGCCCCCTCTCCAAAAAGAAATCCTTAGAAAACAGGACTCTGGAGATTCATGTATGTTGGAGATCAAAAAATAAATAGCCTCAGAAAATTGGGCATCTTGCCCATACTAGGCCTTGGACAAAGGCTTGAAACTCCTCCCTGTCCTAGCCCAAATGGGTCTCGTTCCCTTGTCTCCTGCATGTTTCCCTGTTAGCTGTTCACTGACTTCTCATCAAACAGCTCATCCCAACCCTAGGGCCTTCTTGCATTTGTGAACTCTATACCAGTTTGCTAGTGAACACCCAGGGCACTTTGCTGCTTGCAGTGAATCCAACTAACCTGCGTGTTGCTGAACAGGATAGCACAATGCTGGAAGGCATGACTAGGCTTGGCTGACCAGTCTATGACTCTACGTGTCAGTGAGTAGAGTTCAGGGCAGACAACCCAGCAGGAAGGCAGGCATTGGTAACTGCAAGGGTGGAAAAGGGAGATGGTCTCATTCATTTGTTCCTTTGTTCCTCCCTTGACTCCCTAGCAAGTAACTCCCTTGCTCTAAGATACTGGCCATAGGCAAAAACTCTAGTAAAAGGCAAGAGAGAACTCTTATCAAATGAATGAATCTCTTTTGTGCAGCTGTTTGGATTTAATGTGTTCTTGTGGAGATTGATAAAATTAATTTAAAAATAACTGCTAACTTTAAATTATTTTAATTAACATATGATTGTACAAATTTAAGGGGTATTGTGTGTTATATTTATATACAATAAAATGTAAATAGAGTCAAATCAGGATAGTGAGCAAACCCATGGTCTGGAGTGTTAACCATGTCATTGTGCTGGGAGCATTCAAAATCCATTTTTTTTCTGGCTATTTTGGAGTACATAGTCAATTTTAAAAAAAGTTTCCCACATGACGACATTTGTAGGGGGTCTCCTCATGGTTTCTTTGGTCCAAAGTCCCCCAAATTTTTGCTAAGGACATGTGACTGAGGCCCTGATGGCTGGTCCTTATTGCCTTGTGGGTGAACTCAGACCCAATACCAACTTTTCCTCCCGGGTTCTGCCCCTTTAGGATGCTAGAAATCTGGGCAAGAAGTGCAAATAGAGATACATCTTTCTGAATGCAGGAATGAATGGCCTTCCCTGCCTTCCGTCCCCTCTGAGAACCTGATTAGAAGCCTGAGAGCTACTGGATAATTTGAAGTCAGCTCAGCATTGGCATAGTGATAACTACTAAAAAGCCCCCGAAAACTTACAAGTCAAACACTCTTCTTACAAGGAGTACAAACAACGTCAAAATGGCTTAGGACTATTACAATAATTTTACACACTGTACATACTTATAGGGTCCACATGGTGGGAGAAGGAAGGTAACGAAGGGAGAGGAGGAGCGAAGACAGGACCTTTCGCTATGGCTATGGCGTGTGGGTCCATCATTTCCAAAGAGAAAACAGACTACAATTTAGTTAGAAACCCCAGAAGATCTGAATAGAAATCACCAGGTGTCTTAGCTTCCAGGAACAACAACAACAAAAAAATGTTCATTTCCTACATTGCCGATTAGGTTTCTTTATCCTGCTAAGTGGATTCTATTCTGAGGCCCAAATATCCCTGAGAGCATCTTGACCTGTAGACATTAGTCTGTTCCTCCATCTGCCGAGCGCCTGCTTCTCAGGTAACAATTTCTAGCCTGGCAGTTTCATAAGAGGGCAGGATTTCCTACTCTTGGGATTTAGCTGAATGCCAGTTAGGTTGTTTTAAGCAACTCTGAAAGCTTTGGTCTGAAGTTGAGAAATGTTTAGGGTTTGTAATTTAGGGAAGGCGGTCAAAACAATATTCAGCCATCTGAGCCGCAGCTGAATTGGTCGAGACACAAGAACAGTATCCGGCTGTTTTCAGATAGGAATCATCTAGACACTCAGGATTCATGCTGATTTCCCCTGGGGACTGTGGAACTCTTGCTCGTTCAGAGCAGTGGCAGTGACAACTGTGGGCTGGGGAGGGGCTGGCCTTTACCACAGTTGTTCCTCAAAACAAGTGAGGACAGGTTGTCAGCACCACACAACCCTTTCAAAGAAAACACCTTAAGATGAATGTGGAGGCCCACGCCAGGAATTCCAGAACCCGGGAAGGCAAGGCAAGAGAACTACCACAGGGTGGTGGTGGGGAACGGGACAAAACTCCTCGCCACATAATAATCAAAACACTAAACCTACATAATAAAGAATATTAAGAGCTGGAAAGGAAAAGGGCAAAGTAACATATATTAAAGGCAAACCTATCAGAATTACACCTGACAAGAAAGCCAGAAGGTCCTGGTCAAGCATTAGGCAGACATTAAAAGACCAAGGATGCCAGCCCAGACTACTATAACCAGCAAAACTTTCAATCACCATAGAAGGACAAAACAAGATATTCCATGACAGAACCAGATTTAAACAATTCATAACCATAAATACAGCCCTACACAAAGTACTAGAAGGAAAACTCCAACCCAATGAAGTCAGCTGCACCCACAAAAACACAGACAATAGATGATCTCACAGCAGAAAATCCAAAAGAAGGGGAAAGCCCACACAGTAACATTATCAACAACAAAAACTAAAATAACAGAAACTAGCAATCATTGGTCATTAATATCCCTTAATCTAAATAAACTCAACTCACCTAAAAAGACACAGGCTAATAGACTAGATACAAAAACAGAATCCATCCTTCTGCTGCACATAAAAAGCACACCTCAACTTCAAAGACAAACATCACCTCAGAGTAAAAGGTTGGGAAAAGATTTTCCAATAAAATGGACCTAAGAAACAAGCTGGTGTAGCTACCCTAATATCTAACAAAATAGACTTTAAACTAAGATCAATTGAAAGAGACAAAGAAAGAAATTTCATATTTGTCACAGGAAAAATTCATCGAGGAAATTTCAATACTGAAAATCTATGCCCTAAATACAAGGGCATCCTCATATGTAAAAGAAACGCTTCTAAATCTTAAATCACACATTACACCCTACACACTAATAGTGGGAGACTTTAACACCCCACTCTCACCATTAGACAGGTCTGCCGGACAGAAACTTAACAGAAATGGGGTACAAACTTAAACAGAGAACTCTCAACAGATGAATCTAAAATGGCTGAAAGGCACCTAAGGAAATGTTCAACCTCCTTAGCCATCAGAGAAATGCAAATCAAAACAACTTTGAATTCCATCTTACACCTGTCAGAATGACTAAAAACACTGATGACAGTTTAATGCTAGAGAGGATGTGGAGAAAGGGGAACACTCCTCCATTGCTGGTGGGAATGCAAACTTGTACAGCCACTTTGTAAATCAGTATGGCGATTTCTTAAAAAATTAGGAACAATCTACCTCAAGATTCAGCAATACCACTTTTTGGTATATACTCAAAAGAAGTTCAATCAGACCATAAAGACATGTGCTCTGTTACATTCATAGCAGCATTATTCATAATAGCCAGAAACAACCTAGATGCCCCCAACTGAAGAAAGGATAAAGAACATGTGGTCCATTTATACAATGGAATATTTTTCAATGGTAAGAAATAATGACATCTTGAAATTTGGAGGCAAATGGATAAATCTAGAAAATACTATATTGAGTGAGGTAATCCAGACCCAGAAAGACAAATATAATATGTACTCAATCATAAATGGCTTTTAGACATAAAGCAAAGGAAAACCAGCCTACAATCCACAACCCCAGAGAACCTAGACAACAATGAGGACTGTAAGAGAGACATACATGGATCTAATCTACACGGGAAGTAGAAAAAGACAAGATTTCCTGAGTAAATTAGGAGCGTGGGTGTCACAGGAAGAGTGTAGAAGGAATAGGAAGGAAGGGGAGAGGGGAAAATGTACAGTGTAATAAACAGAATAAAAAATATTTAGATCATAAAAAAAGAAATGGAAGGAAAAGTTGAAACTGGTGATCAGAACACTGATTTTGAATTTTCTTCTACGCTATCCTATCTCTTTAAAAAGAATTGCTCAATTATTCTGAAGAAATTACTCTAATGTATCCTTTACAAAGATGGAGAGAAACTGATCTGAAGGTGTGAGGCAGCTGACATGTGGGAGCTTCGCCACCCTCTG